AAGCTGTTATTTCTAAGCTAGATATCAAATTACGAACACCTACATCTACCAGATCCTCCTTTGTAAAACTTGATCCTTGGATTTCTCAAATACCTTATAACTCGAATAATGCTCTTTCGCAATCAATCTTAGTTAAAAATCAAATTGCACAACATCAAGGAAACTCTTCTATATCTATATTTGAAACAATTACAACTTTAGCTAAGGGTACAGAGATATTAGTTTATGAGATGACACTTATGAGTGCTGAGATTCGTACTTTTCGAAAGGCAAATGAGATATTGAATAAACGTCATAGAGTTAAAAAGAATCGAATTCGTTAAGGAGGAATACTTAGTATACAAGATAGATATAATATTATATTACAGACCGATGTAGATAATCAGATTCGATACGACGAATACTTTAAGAGAGGTAGTTCAAATAGAAAACAATCAACTTTACGTTGTTGTGGCTTTTGTGGTAAAACTGGTTATAATATACGAACTTGTCAGAAGGATTTAGAAGACTCTAGTTTATCAGATTCTGAATAGTTTCAATTAATTTTATATGTTGTGATTATTGAATAATATTTTGAAATGATTGAGTAGTGAAAAAGTGCGCAAGGCACTGATATGCGCGACACACTGATAAACCACGTTAAGTTTAATTCAATATCTAAGTTTAATTCAACATCTGAATTAAACTCAATTGTTTTGAGATTATTTCATAATAGCAAAGATAATCTCAAATTCAAGTATGATTATATATCTGTATTTCTTTTTATATCAAAATAAATATTTGCCTAGAATTGAAGATTTAAAACCTCAACTATATTACTTTATATATTTTGGGCCTAATTAGGGCTTTACTTTATATAAGGTAATATACTAGTTAGGCCAAGAGAAGTTTGCATGAGGTGGAAATTAGTGTCTTCAAGAATTAGAGTCAAGCGACTCTGTGACATAAGAGTGCAGATGGTAGCAAATCGTTAAGAACTCTCGCGTGTGTTTCATGGAATGTAATTGCAAAGTGGCGCATTATACTCTACTTATCAAAAATGGCAGTGATATACCAGCATTGTCAGAATTGATATTCCTTGTTAATCAAGTATGTTTTAAGAGAGTGGCCTTGAATAAACAAGCTACCATTGTTGCAGTTGTAGTTGTAAGATGGCTACAAACTAGACGACTACAAGTCTTTACAGTATTTATACAACCTCACCATTCAACTGCTCGGCATTATTTGCCTCTATCACGATGCCGTGAAATGTTCAACTTCAGACGCGAACCGCAATCAAATATATCTGCTATGATTCTTCGACTGCTATTTTATCCAGATCAAGTGTTGGAAGAGATGATGCTATTAGATGTACCATCGAAGTATTCTCGCTACAAAATCTTCTGCAGGAGTATTCCAAATTTGCCGCGGACTTGAAGCTTCCCTAGAAAAATGGTTTCAACAGGGAGACTTAGCAAATATGGGAAGTATCACGTCTAGAAAAAGAGGAATTGAAGTTTGGCTTCCTATATTTCTGTTTGAAAATACAAATTGGGTGACTACACCACCCTTCAATATTGCTGAGGCGACCTTCGGATATCAAGATTCGAGGTCAATGGATATAAAAAGCTTGTCTCAGCGAACCTGTACTCTGCTATTTTGTCATTTTAAGGGCCAGGGAATTTTGAGACGACTACAGGCTATGGGTTGATGCCATATTATAAACCAAGTAAGCCCCCCTGAGTGCGACGAGCAAGTTGTTTTCATCACCGAGCTATACAAGAAGAGTTAGAAGGTTATCGTTTGGCTTTGACGAGACCGAAAACAACAATTCAACGGAGGCTTCTGCTTCGAGAAGTATACCCAAGTGTTCAGAGTTGAGAACGACATGTTATTTTTGTAAACTTTGGCTGGGTTTGGTGATGGCATTGACTAACTGTAGACCAGTTGTTACCAAACTCCCGATTTCTTAAGTATAGGATGCTAGATAAATCTAGATGCAGATTTGATTCATTCTCTTCTTTCTGCATCATGGGTACCGGATGAAATGTCTATGGATTGCCTGGAACACTTCCACATCTCTTACAATGCATTTCCATTGTTCAATCCATATTATTGCAAGATTTCTGAAGGTAACCTCATGTTTTCAAGTATAATCATCAACAATATTGGTAGAATAGATTTTGCGCGCAGCTTCTGTGGCCAGAAATAGAGTCTGATACATGCTATCGGGACATATTCTCCGTATGGAGATAAAATGAGTGACATGAAAGCTTTAGTATGATATTTTCTTGTCAACCGAAAACCAGAAGACAAAATTTCCTGAGATGATGATAATCTCTCTACAAGATACATCAATACATCTCCGCCTGAAAACCACTCACATATGCTCGAGTGGTGAGTAATAAGAAAAACTATGTAAAAAGAAATATTATGGGCATGAAATACTTGGGCGGCATATCAGAGACGTTACACTACACTCTGTTTCCTAAGAGAGAATATATCATATCTGTGCCATCTCATAAATATTATAGATCAACACGGGTTGATCACAGCAGACAAGATTCGTTTCCCGTGGTGTCCACGTGTATATGTACACTTAGACATTCGGTTTCTAGGCTACAGGGAAGATTTGTGAGGAATGCTCGAGATCAATCTTCACCAGATACTCTTATCATGAGTATCAATTAGTTAGAGAAAGTGATATTGAAGAGTTATGGATGGAGAGATATTGGAAATGGAGACGGTACACCTGATGTTCCAGTCCGTTACTGTGTACTGAGGTCGCTTCATGGACTGATTGGGAATACGTGTGTAGGAGTGAGAGAAAACTTTTCTGGTTTGTATTCTTTTATGGATCGGGTGTGTTATATATTTACGTTCATGTATCGGATGGTGACAAGCTCGACGCATTCGCTAATTTTGAGGTTCATACAGAGTATGTGAAGTAGTCACTGCCAGTGCAGAATTTGGTTTATATTTGAGAGTAGCAGTATAAGTGAAAAAACCACAACATTCACAACAGCCCATCATGAATTGCCACAAGTACGTGCAAACTTTTTTTTATTAACAAAACCTGAAAGAGGCAAGCGCTTCATACAATTACAATACATCAGGTCTAAAATATTGAAACATAAAAACAAGGCAAAACAACATCTTAATTAATTACTAATGACTCATCTAACAAAACAAAGCTCTCAAGGTATGGGTATTAAATGCATCAATCTCAGGAAACACTCTCTCATATGCCAGAAACAATCTTCAACCAGAAGTAAAACAAGGAGTAGTAGTCACGCAGCGACAAGCTTATTTTTTCTCAACAATCTTCTTCTCCTTCTTACTTTTAGGGGAGCAAGAAGAGAGGATGGAAATCAACCAAGTCTTGTAAGTGAAGCGTTTGCGAAGAGTTGTTTCAGAAGATGTGGATGTTCTCGTAGCACCTGGGAGGACTTTCTCGATGATTCTATGATGAGTAAAAGAAGAACGTTAGTCACGAATTCATGAAAATTAAGGTCTGAGCGAGAAGACCAATGTAAAGTAGGATCATTCTTGTATTTCTATCTTTCTTGCTTTTGTACAATCATTGTATTCCTTCACCCAAGTCATCCATCCCACCTTCTATCATATCAACCTAAAGAAAAGACAAAGCGCTCCACTTACTGCGCCAAGAGAACAGCTCTGTAGTAAACTTTTCCTTTGTCCAACTTATCCATTGCTTCAGCAATACCCGCCTCGGTCATGGGAAAGGTTTGAACAATCGGCTTGATTTCATGGAAGGCGGCAAACTCCAACATCTGTTTATGCGCACTTCTGTTTGCGACAAGGTTTCCTTGAATGTTGATACCGGCTGTGAGGAATGGCATGTATGGGATTTCAAGGTTCTTGAAGGAGACTGTCAAAGGGTAAATGGTAGCGCGGGGTGCCATGATTGGGAGGATAAGATCCCAGTCTGGTTGAACGGCACTGGTGACGAGGAGACGGTTGATGGACTTGGTGACTTTGAGCTCCTTGGCACCTGAGGTGACGATGTATTCGTGTGCGCCAAGTTTGAAAGCTTCATCCTTCTTTTTATCGGAACTGCTCAATACGACAACTCTGCAACCCATCTTGGCAGCAAATTGGATAGCCAAATGTCCTAATCCACCAACTCCCATCACGGCAACAACATCGGTGCTCGTGATACCCTGGAGGGCGGAGAATGTGGTAGCACCTCCACATTGGAGAGGAGCGGCATATTTATCAGGGATAGAGGCGGGTGTGAGGAAGAGGAAGGCTTCACGCCAGATAGCATGGGAAGCGAACGATCCTTGATCGAGATTGGCGTATCCGTAGAGAGCACGTTCGGGACAGAAAATTTCATTTCCAGTAAGACATTCGTTGCAGTGGCCACAAGAATCATGCTCGTAGCCCCAGCCGACACGGTCGCCTTTCTTGAGGTACTTTGCGGCAGGGCCGACGGCTTCAACGATGCCAACACCTTCGTGGCCGAGAACCATATCGGCACCTTTCTGTATGGGGGTTAGCTAGTGTTTGGATGGTAAAGGGGATGAGTAAAGTGTGGACTAACGTAATGGAGATCAGTTCCGCAAACACCGGAAGCAGTGATCTTTACCAAAACACTATCACCCTTCAGCTCTTCAGGCTTAGTGGTGGTGCTCTTGATGGGGGTACCATCTGGTCTTCCCTTGAAAACTGTGAAGGTAGGCATATTGATTATGTATGAAGAAACAAGTAGGTGATTTGAGGATAGATTTGGAAAATTTGAGTTTTCAGGTGAAATTAAGAGGATTAAGAAGATCTGAAGAATCTGGAGGAGAGTGTAGAAGAGGCAGTTGAGTTGATGTCGAATAAAGTCCATTTCCATGGCTTTCGCCTTACATTATATAATCGATGAACTCAGGGCCGGTCCTTCGAGTTCTAGAACCAGTCACCTCGCGCCCATCATCCCGCGCATTGATTAGTGAAAATACGCACCGATGAAGTGTACGAACCCACATTCTCACGGGATTGTTCGTAATCAACTTTACCCGTACGCATCCGACGGAGGTCTTCGAGAGAAATCTTTCCTTCAAGGAGAATCCGGAAGTCAAATTATGGGCATTCAATGGCTTTTGACCTACCTTCTTCACGTCTATGACTAAACCCGAAACACGATTGACTAGGGTCTAATCTCCGGATTCCCCTTTAGGACCACCACTCACCCCACCATGTAAGCAAATGTTAGGGATCAACTGTTGGTTGATAAGAAAATGGATGAGTTATTGGACATAATCCACGAAGACTTTCCTTTATGCAGCGTTAATGTGTTAGTGTGTAGTTGGAGTAGCGGAGTGGGATTCGTTGGTGCATTTGAGTGATGAAATAATCCCTTACGCTACCCCGCGATTTTTCGTGTCTCACCAAGAGCCAATGTGATTGCACGTCTATGCGGTGAAGCTATTCGGTAGGCTCCCGGGTCTTCACCAAGTAGCAAGTGTTGCTCACCAGGGCGGTAATGTATATCTGTGAATATCTATACTTAGAAGCTACGAAAAGGACAAATCCTCATGATTGGCGTTTTAATTCCTTTTCTATGATTGAGGATGGTAGCACAGTGAAGTTATAGTCATGGCTTGGTAATTTTGCGTTACAATGAAGAAGAATGAAATTGTACAAGTGGCTAAAATATAGCTTCTATACGAACAATCATTGCTATACAAAAGTGACTACCGAAGGATAATCTCGCTAGCAGGCCACCACTCCACAGAATTGTTTCCAAAGACAGCCCCCCACATGCGTTCACCATGATGTGCATGCTGCCATACCATTGCCCACCCGAGATATAATCTGAGAAACCAACAGAATGGAAAGAAATGTAAAGAAACTTAACGCCTTCAAGTCATGCCTCCCATTTATCATCGTCATCATCATTATTATTCCGGAAATATTGTCCCCATATTCGCCCACAACATCTCAAAATCTGTATATGAATCTGCTGGGAAAGTCATATCGATAGATTGAGCCAAAATATCTTGCAGTTCTGCGTTTGTCTCGCTGTCGAAGGTCAACGAGTCTACACCTTGCATACTGGTGAAACTATCATCGAGAAGACTTTCATAGCCAGAGTCTCCTGCGCTCATGACAGATTGCAATTCATCGGGCTTGACCATCACTTTTGACTGTTGCACCATCATCTGTTTCTCATAAGTCTGCGCGAGACGAATATCGACTTTGGCACTAAGTTCAGTCATGACATTAGCTGCGCTGGCGGCTTGAGCGAAATTGTTCCCGAAGTTATCGAAGACAGCAACGGCGAGGTCAAGGGCTCCCCGTGCGGCTCGGGTCTGTGTGCCCTGTGGATATGCGAAGATATAACCGACGAGGGTCATTGCGCAATTCCACTGCCACTGGAAGGATTCTTGCCAGCCTGCTAGAATTGATGTCGACAGGATGACGTGGTGCATTATGTGCGTCAACTGCATGGCGTGGCCGACACATTTGAGAGCAATTTGCTCTGAAAGAGCAGTAGGAGTGCTTGATGGATTGAAGACGATAAATGGTCGGCAGAGATTTGTACTCAAGTTATGATACATGAGTTCAAGAAGGAGACGCTGTCGTTGAAGCCAAAGTGGTGCGAATGGTTCGATATTGAGATGTGATAGGTCCGTGGAAAACGGAGAACCGCCATTGAGACGATCGGTCTTGAGGGCCATAGGTACGCCTCTAAGCCATTCATCCATTCGCTCTAAGTGTGGTTCCAGCATGTCTGCATAGGCTCCCAACGTCTGTAGGTCATCCCAGATGGTTCCTCTCACGTTCACTGTATTATGCACTGGAGTGTCGTAAAACGCAGAATAAGCCGATCGAGCGACCAGCAGCAGTTTGGTGTTGTGTAGATTCCAGGTCAACCAAGTGACATTATCCCCCAGAGATGCGAAGCTCTGTCCTGCGGCTATAGCAATATCACGATCATCTGTCGGAAGTGTGCATGTAGTGTTACACTCGTGGACCAAAAATGGGCGACCGAGTTTCATACTCATCTTACTCTCTAGGACGTACAGCGTCCACCACATGCGTTTTCGCAGCTCTCTTTCTTTTCTCGGCATCTCTTGAGGGGGTTCGACATGAAGACCGAGCATATAAGCTGTTCTTACGGCGGCACTGCAAGCGCTATCTGCCATATTTTGGAATGATCCACAACATAGGTATATGGAGCAGAGAATGTGACATTGAAGAGTGGCTATGGTGGGTGCTTCTAGGTCGGCTGCCAGAAGAGATTGACAGCGTCGGTAATGCCATCGGCCAGCAATCGTTGCATCATTAACGTTGACATTGGCTCTTGAGCTGGGATTATGTGCGCGCGTTACATTTGGCAAGAACGACATGCCATACTGCATACACATTGCCAAGATGATATCGACAAGTGCCGACGGCTTTCGCTCTTTGTCGGAATTCATCCATAACGACTGGTAGTGTTCCTTGAATGCTTGTTCATCGATGATTGGATTAGAGGTATAGTATGATTGCCAAAAGAGACCAAGGAAGTACTCTTCTTGTGTTGGTGAAAGATAATCGCCAACATTAAGTGGATCTTCTATTGGGACCATGAGCCCATTCTTATTGTCTGATGTATCCGCAGTAGTTGGTCCATCGAGTACTTTACTTGCCGAATTCGGTAGCATAGCATGAGCTGAATGTTTTTGATGCAAAGAAGCAGTTAAGAAAGTGTTGAGGCGCCCGATGAAATAGTACAGTGATGCTGAGCCATACCACGTCTTTTGTGGCGAGCGCGCAGTGCTAATGTGAATACCCTCCCATTCCCTCTTGATTGAATTGGCATCAAATTCAAGGCCGCTCATACCACTCAAGCCACTCATACTGCTCAAGCCAGTGTCATGCCCGGATCGAAAACTACCGATGCTGTTGGGCGGTGAAGGAAGTCCGTGTAAAGGAAGCAGTTGGATGTTTTGTTTGTCGTCTGAGCGTTCTTTGTCGAGTTCTTTCTCGAGTTCTTGGACCTTTTGCTTAAGACGTTCAATCTCGCGATATGCGTGTGGAATTGTTGCAAGCTTCATAGAACCACTATTGCTGCAGTTACCGCCCCGAGTTTTGCAATTGTTACACGGATGATCATTATCGCATTTGATGCGATGAACTCGACACCAATCGCACGCTTTGGCCACTTGACTTCGCTTTTGGCGTGGACGGGGCCGTGGCGGAGGTTCTGGAGATGCAGAGTTACTGGATGTAGTTGTGGAAGGCATGCTGACGAAGGTAGTGAACATTTTGAGATGTTCGGATGGATATCAAGTAGAGGCAGAGAGGGGTTTTGTTGGAACAAATATGTTGGAAAATTGGATATATATGCGGCGCAGCCACCGAAGTTTGATAGCAGATTGCTACACAAACAGGCAGTCGACTGTTACCGGTGATCACTGGTCAAACAGTCTCTATCCAAATCAAGTTTAGGAAGGTCGGAAAAGTCTCCAGATATGAAGATGGAGAAGATGGATTCTGTATGTACAGAATATGGTGTTTGTATGATTTGCGGTGCTAAAGTGCAAGCAGATTCTCTATATTCCTTATTGTGCACGGGTGGCACAACTAATGTGTGTTTTTGGTGCCAAGAGGCCTACCCCACCTGAAGGGACCCGGGAAGCTCGATGGCTAGAATATCACAAAGTACGGCTTTGTACTATTTGATTATTCCATAGATGATAACTAGTGTCATCACGAGAAATATCTAGAAGAAGTGTATCTAGGTGATTTTGAGAATTATACGAAGTTAGGTCTATTGCTTTCAAGGTTGTCAGTAGACGATATAATAGAATTTAGCCAATAATCAACTAGCTACAAGTATAGCAGCTAAAATGTATCATCGGAACCACCGTCGAAATCATATCATTCTCTATGATACATCACAAATGTTCTATCAAATATCTAAAAAGAGTTACTAAGCTTTTGACTACTTGGGTACTGATGCATCTGTTCGAAACGGAGATAGCGTTTTGAGTTTCGGAGAAGAGCCTATGAGCCCCATAAGGGTTATACTAAAGCCCCTGTCTATCTCTCATAATCACTAAACTTCATTTGCAAACGCTTGAATTTCAGCCTTTCATCACTACTCCACTGAGTACCGATGAATCTCCCCACCACCTTATCTCTACAAACCTTTCCAAAAATAATTCTCCCGCTACAAACTACATACCTACAGAGTACTGTATTCAAATTCTAATCCTTGATCCTATTATCATGGATGGAATGGTTATCACAAGTCGCGAGGTGACTCTACGATGAGTTTACGTACTTCCATCGCAAAGCCTAATTTTAGCTACGAAGCTTTCTTAATTCCACACAATCTACACAACAACAATAACAACAATGACACCAGTTATCGCAAGTCACTAAGTCTCACTCACTCACATTGTACTCGGGTCCCTTACCACGTGAGATGCTTACACTAATGATATCGCCATAAGGCGGTCTAGGGCGATATTACTGTCACAAAACTAATGGCCAGAATTCCAGCTGTATGTACTCGGGTCCTAAGCCGTAGATTCCGATCAACAACATCAGAGAGCCGACTGCGCTTTTATGGCGATGTTGTCTTAGGTACACTGGTATGGCCCGAATTCCTCCGTATACGATGGATAAGCCGAGAATCTAAGATAAGCTTACTTTGCTGCTAGAGAATGGGATTCGCTTGCCTCAAATGTCTTTTGGCGTATTCGGGCTTTGTGGTTGCAAAATGAGTGGGATTGTTGTTTCAGTATGTATGGAGAGTGGGGGTCATCGCAGAGTAAGTCAGAGTACCATTACTGATTATACTTCAAGCTTCATTATAAAGATACTGTGTGGTAGTACCCGGCGTACTCGGCATTTAACCGGCGTTTTCTTGGTAAGGATGGCACCTACGTCGTCGGCGCAAGGTCAAAATCCTACATCACATAAGGACTTACAGTCATTGGTTTTGCCACCTGAGCACCTCATCTTCAGCGTTTTACCTTACGATAAGGCGTTTGTTCAAAGTTGTATTACTTCTGAATATAGAATGTGCTTAAGATATGGACGCGGGCAGATTAATATTTTATGCAATGGAACAATTTTTTGAGCGGGCGGAAACTTGTTATTAATCCCGTGCCTATTGGAGGGTGATGTAATCCCGTCTGCTTCTTCAAGGGTCTTGCAGATATGCAGCGGGCCCGAGTCCAAACATGTGGTTTCTAGCGGACCTTGCAGGACTCTGACCTGAGTTCTGCATGGTCTCGGGGAACTAGGCAACGATATCAACATCGATATCTTAGACATCAAAACTCACGTGAAGCTGAGTGAGCCAAGCCCCTTGGTAACAAATTATCGGATTGAATGTAAAACACGGTATACAGTTTACTGGGACAATGTTAGATCACGGTACCTCGTTCCTTACTCTAGTTTTCCCAAGAGATGCAGTGATCGGTTGTCAATATGCTGTAGAACAAAGAAATACAAAGTTGCCGGTCTTTACCCGGACCGAATCAGACGTCAGTTGATTATGTGATAGGGTCAAGGCCGTGATATCGTCCTAAGATAGTCATCGGTATTGGCATTCCTAGCCCGTCTCTAGCGCTTCTTTAGCTCTTCTTCCTTTGCTGATCCTGGTTCGATGGTACGAGCTAAGGCAGGGCTAGGCTCCCGCTGCAGATTGATTGCATGTAAGCAGGGCTACCACGAGTCGACAACGTGAATTCACCAGCAGCTCGGTTCCAAATCTATTTGGAATGTGTTGATCCTAGGAAATGAGCTGAACAAAGCTTAAACTCACTTCCTCTGTGCCGCAGGCGATATTACACTCAGCCAGGATTCGTTCTTCAACACCTTCGACTTTGTGATATCGAAAATCAGACGATCCGGGCAGTGAAGTGAGACCATACGATAGTCAACATCATGGATGACCCGGAGGACGAAAGAGGATTGGGATGTGGTCGAAGCATCAAGTTGAACCCCTATATAAACAAGTAAAAGTCTCGACATCAAGCTACATCCTCATCTTCATCAACCTCATCTTCTCCTCTCAGCTTCATTCGGTACAGAAGCATCTCCTCTGATCATCGTTCTTCCTTCTCTTGAAGATCATTCCCTCCTTCCTATCTTTGCAAGTCATATTCTTCACTAGCAGACATGTTTAGCAAGGACTTCACAGCTCTCGGGCTTGCAGCCCTATCTTTGGTCTCTCAATCCCAAGCAGGACCTACCTTGAGCTCTTCTCACCTTAAGGCAAGATCTCTCTTGGGTAATTCTTTCGGTGTTCCTGGACGCAACGCAACTTACGATTACGTTGTCGTTGGTGGTGGCAATGCCGGTCTCACTATCGCTATGAGATTGGCTGAGGCTGAGGCTGGCAGCGTAGCTGTCATCGAGGCAGGAACCTTCTATGAGATCAGTAACGGAAATATCTCGCAAGTCCCTTCCAGTGATGGTATCTTCGCTGGAAAAGGTGCCACTGATTGGCAACCTCAGATCGATTGGGGTTACCAAACCACCCCACAGTCGGTAAGTTCAACAGCAAGAGATGTGACCTGACACAACTTACTAACGCTCATCACAGGGAGCATTCAACACTTCTCTTCACTATGCTCGTGGTAAGACCTTGGGTGGTTGCTCTGCTAGAAACTTCATGGTCTACCAACGTGGTACTGTTGGATCTATGCAGAAGTGGGCCGATCAAGTTGGCGATGACTCGTATGAATGGGATAACTTCCTTCCCTTCTACCAGAAGTCCGTCAACTTCAGTGCTCCTGACATGACCCTTCGAGCTTCCAACTCCACCCCAGATTTCGTTACTACTGAAGCCGCCAACACCCCAGCTACTGGACCACTCTCGGTAACCTGGTCCAACTACGCCCAAGCCTTCGGTACCTGGGCCATTCAAGGTCTCGTTGAGATCGGCATACCAGTGATTCCCGGCTTCTTGGGAGGCTCCTTGCTGGGATCTTCATACCCTACCTTCACACTCAATGCCGACAGGATGACCCGTGAATCTTCGGAAACATCTTTCCTCCGAGTTGGTATGCAATCACCTGACCTCAAAGTTTACACTCTCTCGTTGGCCAAGAAGATTCTCTTTGATGAAAGCAAGACTGCAACCGGTGTTCTTGTCGAGACCGGCGGCTACCCTTTCACTTTGACTGCTACCAAGGAAGTCATCTTATCTGCTGGTGTTTTTGGATCCCCCCAACTCCTTCTCGCTTCCGGTGTTGGACCTGCAGCTGAGTTGAGCGCTCTCGGAATCGATGTTGTCGCCGATCTTCCAGGTGTCGGAAAAGGAATGCAAGATCATGTCTTCACTGGTATCGGATACCGTGTCAATGCTCCTACCATCTCTAAACTCGGAAACGATGCGGCCTACGCTGCTGAACAAGCGTCCCTTTTCGAAAATACCCCCGCTGCCGGCATGTACACTAGTCCTGATACTGATGTTCTTGGATGGGAGAAGATCCCAGAGAAATACAGGACCGAATGGAGCAACGAGACTAAAACCGCTTTGGCTGAGTACCCTGCTGATTGGCCTGAGGTTGAGTACATTGCCATCTCCTCCTTCTTGGGCAACCAAGTCATCGCGGGAACTGACCCAGGTGATGGATTCAACTATGCCACCATGGCTATTGCTATTGTCGCTCCTCGATCCCGCGGAACCATCACCATCACTTCCTCAGACACCAATGTTGCACCTATCATTGACCCAGGCTGGTTGACCGAGCGATCCGATGTCGACATCCTGGTCGGTGCCGTCAAGCGTGTCCGTGAATTTTACGCCACCGATGCCCTCCAAAGCTTTGTCATCGGCGATGAGTACTTCCCAGGTTCCAACATCTCTACTGATGCCCAGATTGAAGACTTTGTCCGAACCAGCTTCAACACCATCTGGCACGCAACCTCCACCTGCTCTATGGGTCCTCTCAATGACACCAACACTGTTGTCGATACTCAAGCCAGAGTTCTTGGTGTTTCTTCTCTCCGTGTTGTTGATGCTGCTGCTTTCCCACTCCTTCCTCCTGGACATCCTATGTCCACCATCTGTAAGTCTTACCCTTCTTGTACACATTAGCTTTTGAAACAGCAATACTAACATCAAACTTAGATGCTTTCGCCGAAAAGATTGCTTGCGACATCATCTGCTGTTAAGCCGTACGCCTCAAAAGCGCCACCACCCCACTTCATCTCGACTAGAACCTCTCACTTCTCACCTCTCACATGCCTTTCCTTTGTTATATTATCGATAGATCATTAGAAGCCTCATCGCTGTCGTATTCCTTTTCTTCTTTTCTCTCGACCTCCTGCCCAATTGTTCCAGAATATTTTGATGCACCACTTGAGTTCCAAAATATTCTGGACATCAATGCACACAAAGCACTCGATCACTTATCGATATCTGTGCACAGACTCCTTTTGGCAGGAATTCATTGTACAACAAATACTCGCATCCTCGATCTGAGGGGTAGCTTGAGCATCGTTGATTTCTTTTTCCTTTTTGATGGGGTAATGGGGCGACGGTTTTCTTTCATATTGTATCGTACAGAGGAAACGAACATACTATAAAGTCAGATATATAATATATAGTGGCAATCAAGTTTCATATAGCCAATGTATATTCATTCGGAAGTTGCTTTGCAGATCGTAACCAATTTTCGTTGATTGAGGTGACATTGAAAATTCTGCCAAGATCGACTCGGGGGTGGTTGACAAAGAAATTTTTCGGTAAGAGGTGAATGTTATGTTGAATAAGCTTTGATTGCTGTCACACTTTGTTCTGGCACTCTCTTCAGCACCAATTGGATAAGAGAGATGTTGGAAATGAAAGTTTTACGCATTTGGGTGCTGGGGAACTTGGACCCACTTGTTGCAACGGCCACTATATATGCAGTCATCAATTCATTCGATTTTGTTGGTTAGTTTCTCGTTTTGGGCATCAATGATGTTACCGTACATATTTCCCTCAATCGAACATGCCCTATGTAACTGTCCACCTCGAGAATATTATACTGTGAAATGTCTCAGCATAATCGTAAAATCTAACAAACGTCAAATCGAAACTACCATTAGTGCAGCTCTTCAGCTCAAAAAATTGTGCCCAACTACTCACTAACGAAACGACAAATGACTACCTATTCAGAAACGGTTATGTTGCGGCACTTATCAGGGGTATCTCGGTTAAAATAACATCACACGGGAGGCCCATATAAATGCACCGAAAAGTACACATTACCGAAGCCTTTCCGAAAAGCTTTCCGTCCGTCCCCACTAAACTAACTACCTGCATAACGAAATCTCATCGTCCCGTCCACCTTAATCCTTCCCGCTCAGCCCCGAAAACTTGGGCCCCGAGTTGTGGCTAGGATGTGCATACGCATATACGATTTAGCTTGTGAAGAAGATCGTAAATTGTCCAATTATTCTTTCAGAATGAAAAGTTTTGTTGATGTCAAAATGAGATTCTACGCGGGGTCCGGCGTGCTGAGTGAGAAATGTGTGAGGGCTGGGGGAGGTAGTGGGGAGTCATGTGATGGGGATTGGCTCAGTCCCTACGAAAGTTTGGGGGTGGGGAAGATGTGGTTACTAAGGTTGCGCATGTAAGCCGGTACAAGTCGTCGATTGGGGATGGTGGTACCGGTATATCATATATGGGGCTGATGAGGGGAGAGGGTTGCGTAAACGCTGTAAAGGGACCCGAATGACGGACGGTAAGGCAGAGATGGCGGGAGAGGCGTTTGAGCCGACACGGCATGTGGGCTGTGTAGCTGTAATGATCATGTGATGTACTGCTAATTATGAATTGGTGCTTGGGAAGAGTTGAATCAAGCCAGTGTAAAAGTAATTTGCCTAGGTAGTGAGGGGGGGATTTCAGGTGTGAATATCATGATCAGAAGAGGGAGATACTTTAAGGTCACATGTTTATGTGCATCAGCCACATTATTGAGCCACTATATCACTAGCCGCAACGGAACTTTAGGATACATCTCCATGAAATAAGACGGCTCGAATGGAATATTCTCGAATTTGGAAGTTGTCAGAAAAGTCGTGTTGTTTTGGAAAGACGGGATGTGTTTGTTGATTTGATAATGATTGGATCTTGTTTACTGTCTATCACTGTAGATCATATCATCTTCAGTTGATCCAAAAGATGCAATTATGATGTTACTGTACTAAATTTGTTTACTATCTTATCCTTAACCATCATTAAATAAGAAAATCTATTGTGATAATCATGAAATCCTAAACTCCAAAATCATCTATCCCATATCTTGTCTATGCCAAATACCCAAAGTCTATTCATCAGATTAAAAGAGATATAAGAGAAAATACATGAAAAGAAAAGTGATAAAGGAGATTCATTAGATAACCATATCAGTCATGTTTAGTTCAAAGCCAAGAACTCATTCTGAACTACTTCTGGTTCCTTAATCCCCCACTGAACCATCCAGTTCTCCAACCACTCTCTGTTTAAAGGACCAAGAGTCCTCAAAGTCTTACTGGCAGCTTGCGAACGAATTGTAGGTAAGGTACGGGCACCTTTCTCGGCGGCACCACCAGCTGATGCCTTGGAATAGAATTCAAGAAGGCGCATGGCGGGGTTGGCATCAACATTGACATTACCAGTGCGCTCGGCTTCATCAACGGAAGTTTTGAGTGCTTCGACCCATTGTTCAAATTTCACTGGCTTGACCATTCCCTTGGGGTAAGCAGCGAGGAGGTTCTGTCCCAAGTCTTCTTCCCAGGAGGAGAATTGAGGGTTGACGACGTGGTAAGTCTTGCTGCGGAGAGGAGCAGAAGAGATGGCACCTGTAGCTTCGTCAAACTCGGGTTGGGATGCGGATCCGAGAATCTCGCACAAGACCTTGGAGAGCTTATCGACTGGGAGCCAATCGATGTGATCTCTGGAGGGGAAGGTCTCTGGAACGACACCAAGATGAGCTGATGAGACGATGATGGATGGAATGTACTCGTGTTTGTTCCACATTCCCTTCTGTTGCTCGACTGGACCAGCGACAATACCAACACGGCAGACGGCAGTGCGGACCCCGGATATCTGGGCCGCTTTATCGAGAAGAGCTTCGGCGATAAGCTTGGATTGACCGTATCCCATAGGAGCAGCGGCAGTGAAGTCGAGAATTGGTGCTTCTGGAACACCGCCAACTCCCTTGTATCCACCGACAGCGGCAATGGATGAGATAAACATGACGAAAGCGTTGTGAGTAGAGCTGGAGGCCAAGTGAGCGAGGTTGCGAACACCAGTGATGTATGGCTTGAATGAGTTGAGGGTCCAGTTGAAGTTGACTGGCCATTGGCAATGAAGGACGTGGGTAACACTGTCCAAGAGTCTTGTGTAGTTCTCGTGCCCAAGACCCAATTGATGGTCAGAGAGATCTGCTTTGAGGAAAGTGACTCTGCTGGAATCAATAGGGCTCAATCCTCTCGCGATGATTGCTTGTTGAAACTTCTCAGCTCCACCAGCAGAACGATCAAGAGCGTAGATGTGCTCAACGTTCGGGTCATTGTTCAACTCATTAAGAAGATAAGAGCCCAATGAACCGGTACTACCAGTGAGAAGAACGGTTGTGCCGTTGGTAATTGGAGTGACACGAGGCTTAGTCTCAACTGGAAGAGTGGCGACGAATTCTTGAAAGATGGACTCCATAGCAGTCAATTTAGGGTTCTTGATTTCCTTCTCGTTAGGATCGGCACTTTGGTAGGCACTATCAGGATCTTCAGGTGCCAAGTCTGCTGTCTTGTAGAGGAACTCGGAAAGCTCAACCAAAGATGGGTTGGCGTAGACGATAGTAGGTGAGAGGGAATCCGGAGTGAGGTTGTTGCCACCAGAGATCTTAGCGTGCATCTTGAGCTCGCGGACAAGTCGGATGACATGGAGGGAATCCAAGCCAGATTCAAAGAATGCCGCATCGGGTCCAAAATTTTGAATACCGGCAGTCTCTTCAACGAGCTCTTTCAACCATTTTGCGATACTGGTGCGGTCGGCAAAGTCAACACGAGGTAAGTCACCGATTTCAGCAGAGCTGAGACCCATTTGATCATCGAAGTTCTCGGCAGCGGCGTAGACATCCTCGATATCCTTCTCATACAATCTGTATGTTTGATGTCTTTGGATCTTACCTTGACCAAGATAGTGCATTGGGCGGCTGGGGTCAACAAACAAGATGTGGTATTGATCGAGTTGACCATGGGCAGGAGCGTGCATGTTAGCTTGCTCGATAGCCGGAAGCATCTCCCTGATAAGAGCATGGCGTTCACGAGCAGTATTTGGTGGCGCATCCTTGAGATCGAGAAGAGCAGCTGGTTGGAATTTGCCACGGCCTACAACCATGGCACCCTTGACGAAAGGACTGCTGCAAAGGGAGGCTTCCATGAGAGCTGGAGCGAGCTTCTCCCCGTTACTGAGGACGATAACATCATCAGCACGACCTCTCCATTTGTACAAAAAGGACTTCGCTGGATCAGGGTGGCGAGAGTAGAGATCGTTCATCGAGTACTCCTCGAGTTGAGGGAAGGTACTGAAGATACCCTGGTAGTAAAGATCTAACTCAGGCTTTCGCTCAATGTAAAGCTCATGAAGACCATCCATGTACTCTTTGAATACGATACCAGAGTGAGTTGGATGCCAGTAGAAGTAAGCCCAATCCTCAACAGCAGGAGCTAATCGTGGAAGACAAGCAGTCTCAGTGGCTCCAAAGTTGGAAACAACTCTGCAGTGCTTGGAGATAATGTCACCGGCAGTTATAGAGATGGCAGCTCCACAAACAAGTATGTAGTTGAAGTGGTGGATACGCTCAAGTGATTTTGGCTCGTGGCTCAATTCCTCATAGATAGATGGGGGACCAATCGAGGCGTCGACACCACCATACTTGTGGATCTCATCGGCATATGCAGCGTGGGGTATAACATTGGCAGAACCGTAAACAGTGGTGACACCGAGAAGGAGAGACATGGTGATACCGATGTTCAAACCACTAGTGTGGAACAAAGGCATGAGATTATAAGCCCGGCGAGATTGTTGGTAGACTTCGGTGGTGGGGACATAGCCATCGATTGCGGGAATCGTCCTCCAAGCTTCGTATGTGCTGAGGATCTCGTTCTTCCATGTGATAGGCTTTGGAAGACCGGTAGAACCGGTGGTGTGGAGGACAAGACATTCATCGGTGCGTGCCTCGGCAAAAGACTTGCTGTAAGGGTAGGCGCGGACCTCTTCATCTTCGAGCAACTCTTCAAGTTCAGGTACAGTTGCAGTGCGCATGTTGCGTTGACTCAAGATGTTCTCGACATGAGTGTTGCGAGCTGTTAAGAAGATGTGACAGTTGGATTTCTCAAGAACATTGAGAGAGCCGGCGACGCTGTTACGGGGTGAAAGATACAACATCTTATATCCGGCTTTGATGGCACCAAACATGAACAGGAAGTAACGAATGTCACCTGATAATCATATTAGTATTATGAGCATATTATGAAGAGGAATGGTTAGACTCACTGTGGCCTTGATAGGCGACAGCTGGGAATTCCCCAGCGGAGGCTTTCCCGAGAATAGACTCCAAGTACCAAGCGGTGCGGTTGATGGCATTTGCGAATGATTTGGCAGATACTTCCACAAAGCCATCTTGTGGCATATCAGTCTTTGGGTAAGCGAAGATTGAGTGATCAGGGACGGTTCTGGCAAGCTCATCTGGAATGAGATGAACCAAACGGGCGGGCATGGCGTTGGCTGCGGCGAAGGCGGCCGGTACATCAGATCGGAGAGTTCCTGCTTGAGACATGTTTGAAGTTGGTTTGAGTGATTGAAGAAGGTCTTTAAAAGATATTAGTATGAAGTATGTATTAGATGTAATGTGGGATAATTGGCTCAAAGAAGCTTTAGTGAAGGTGTTGGATGTAAAGAGTTGGATTTCTAAGTCTAAAGAATTGGAAGTCTGAGAAGAGATGTTCTGGCGATGCCTTGATAGAATGTTGAAGATGTTGAAGATGTTGTTGATGATGGAAAAAAGTATTTACCTCGACAACTTGGCATGTTATATACCAGAATATCGTCGACTGTCGACATAGTGTGTAGTGTATACACTTCCCAAACGAGTCTTTCCATACCACGCAACAGGAACATTGCATTGAGCAGTGATGGTATTCGCGGGCAGCGGACACCCGGAGCAGAGCTAACGGGCTACTTTCGGCCTACTATATCTCAATGAGACTCAACGCACCATATGTGAAAGGTGCAGGAATCTTCTCCGCGGGAGATCTCAGATTGCTGTTGGATCTGGAGGTGAGATTGGAGCAATTGCAAATCCTGGAGCTTTGCAAAAATCGCATAATTCCAACGTACCAATGGCTACTCCTGGAGTCGTATTGCTGTATCTTACTTTGTTACCTTCTTCTTGGAAGAGTCAGATTAGCTCCATCGCGCCATGTTACCAATCGTGCATCCTGGATCTTGCATACGATTCACGATCCGTTGCCACAGACGTCGATGGAGCTTCTAAATTGGGTTTGCCAGACACGTTATGCTCACTAGCACTCCGGGAGCTTGGGCCACTCATACTGCTGAGGGGGTCTTCCCATATTTTGATGGTGTTTTTGGAGCAAACCTCTTCATGGGACTGTTACATGATAAGGAGTTTAAGGCTGCTTGCTGTAATGAGTTAGGTTCAAAAATCAAATCACATTGTACGAATTTGGGTGCTTAGCCGAGATGCAATGGCAGTCTTGAAGAAAGGGTGGTGTGAATATACTGCATTGTGCACCCAAATCAGATTGCAATTGCTATGCGAAGGAAATTATCACGTACCAATTTTGGATTGTCTACCAAAATGCACGCTACCTCCAATACAATCAACAGAAATAAATTCCGGTGCTCCTGCCGAAATATAAGGTTTGTTCTGCAAAAAAAGGGTTCCGGGTTTCTGACATTGTGTGAGGTAATCTGAAATTAACCCATATGAGATTCCGGTATTGATAATTTTGGTATGAAACGCGGTTACACAAGAAAGCTACCTCATGAGTGGTATCTTCTCTGTCGGGAGTGGCCTTTGCAAGATTAACGGGAGAGCAGGGGAGGTGGGAAGGGTATGGTCGTTAGTGGGATGGCCTAAAGGTACTCTGAGGGGTGGATGTAGAGAGATTTCACTTCACTTTGATACAGGGGTTTTAATCACTTCAAAGTTTTAGCACCAATTCTTTTTGGAATTACTGGAAATTGTAGTAGCTGATGAAAAGAAGACTAAAGATTATATATTTTGCCTTTACTTCCAATTTATTGGTTGATAGACCGCGGCGTAATTCGAGTTCGACTAGATAGAGTAATAATAAGGAATTTATATAAAAATACGAACACTTGGAGTTACAATTCGGAATTATTATTCGGAACTCTCATTCTGTAAGAAGCTGGATGCTTCCCCATGTAGATTAGACAGCTTTAGAGGATTTAAATATTATATTAGTAGATATTATAAACCTAATTCTAGTAGCGAGCATGAAGGGGTCGTAAAAAGTCATCACATCATGCTTACGTAATACCTTAGACCTGAAAAGCTTGTTTTACTCAGTAGCAATCGCGAAGTGTGAGCTTACACCAGATTAAGCTCAGATATCCTCCGGTTGAAGATATAATTCCCCTTCACGACTAATTGAGAGTAATGATCATCGAGCCCGCTCCTTGTGTCCGATCATACGAAGACAAGAAAAACCGAGACCGGGACGAAAGAAACAAGGTTGTGCAGATTTACGGGCCGATCCCTCTAACAATCCCATGTTGAAGGATATCAGAAATGTCCCCACAATGCTTCAACGACATCTCACAACATCCTTCCTATTCCCCCTTTTGGTCATGGAGTCACGGAATCTTATCCTCGTCCTATATCGGTGGCTGCGAGTATACATATTACCATTACCCCGACTGTTAAAAATGAAGTGAACACCTCTTTTACTTTTTTTCTCAACTCACAATATTGCCTCCCCAAGCACCATACTTGACTTCACTGTCGTCAAGATTTACATACAGAATCTACAACGACAACATAATTGATCAAACAAAGTCAAATACTTCTTAATAAATAAACATGCCTAGTTCTACCAAACTTCCTACCCGTACTTTGGGACGCAATGGTCCTGAAATTCCAGCCCTCGGTCTCGGTCTCATGGGCCTCAGCAGTAAGTTTATCACGATTGATGATCGATACAAAAATTCGTTGACAATTCCATATTAGCTTTCTACGGAAAACCCGGTTCAGATGAAGAGCGTTTTGAGTTTCTTGATCGTGCTTATGAGCTAGGATGCACCCATTGGGATTCAGCTCAAATGTACGGCGATAACGAAGTACTTTTGGGTAAATGGTTCACAAGAACTGGAAAACGCAGTGAGGTAAGATTGCAGCAATTTTGTTGACGCAAGACTGAAGTATGGCTGCTTATTGTTTGTTGTCTAGATCTTTTTGACTACCAAGTTTGGTAACCATGTCACACCGGAAGGTGGTCGTGAAATCCGCAATGATGCAGAGTACATTCGTTCATCTGTGGCGGAGAGTTTTAAGAAACTCCAAACTGATTACATAGATTTACTCTACTGGTAATTGTTCCCACCATCTTGTTAGATTTCAGTATGGTTCTGATAAACATCATTCTAGTCATCGATTCACTGGAACTATTCCAGTCGAGACAATCGTTACCGTTATGAAGGAATTTGTTGAGTAAGTCGTCCAGTGTCATTCTCCACTGCTTGACAGACACTAATTATCAAAGTGCTGGCAAAGTCCGCTACTTGGGACTCAGCGAGTGTGGCGTTGACACTCTCGAACGTGCCGTCAAAATTCACCCCATTCACGCGTACCAAATTGAGTACAGTCCATTCTCAATGGATGTTGAGAAACCCGAAGTTGGGCTTCTCGACTGCTGCAAGAGACTCGGCATAGCACTTGTGGCCTACTCACCATTGGGTCGTGGTATTCTCACTGGTCAGTACCGATCAGTTGATGACTTCGACAAGGACGATTTCCGACGCACCATTCCCCGTTTCGCCACACAGGAGAATTTCGACAAGAACTTAAAGCTTGTTGACACTATTACTGCCATTGGTAAAACCAAGAATGCATCACCGGGTCAAGTAACACTTGCTTGGATGATGAAGCAAGATCCCCTCATTTTCCCTATTCCAGGTACCAAGAAGATCAAGTATTTGGAAGAAAATATTGGAGCTCTTTACTTGGAGATTTCGGATGAAGAGGACAAGGAAATTAGACATGCAATTGAGAGTGCTGAGGTGGTTGGCACCAGAGTTGCTGAGCATCTTATGGGTGTTCTTGTGGTTGATACTCCTCCTCTTGCCAATTGATGGGCTGTTTTAGGGAGCAGATAGTGGACTCCGCACATTAGTTATTAGTGGAATTAGATTTTATAGAATTGCCTCTCGCATCACAAAATACCAGAACTGTTGTTTACGCTTTGCTTGAATATTGCTTGTCTTTTCAGTTTCCTTGATATATAACGCATTGTAATGAGTTCAACTGTGAGTTCAGCTGTGAGTTCAGCTGTGGGCTTAAATGGGATAACAAATATACCGGTATATTATGAGAGGGGTAGTTTCGTAGTTCGTAGGCTTTGTTTTTAGGCTGTTGTAGGCTTTTGTAGGCCTTGGTAAGCTTTTGTAGGCTCATATAGCTTTTGGTTTTGGATATATTGAGGCGCTGGAACTTAGCAATTTTAAGCCAAGGCATGCTATAAAGGCCTGTCAATTTACTATGATAAGCTACAATCTCGGCATTACTCGACCGTGACAGCTCTGATGGCACCAGGGTTCAGGGCTACTATGATGCTGGTTTTATTGGCATAGCAGGTCTAATTGCTTAATTATCAGTGTTACACCAAGAATTGACCATCCACCAGTAAATCTTACATTTCTGACATTTTCTAAACTCTAACTAAGATTATTTTGAGAGTCCTGAACTCCGTTGTTGAAGAACTTAACCTTTCCCGTGCGTCTATTGTGGCTGAAAATGGCTGACGTAATCCGACGTAATCCTTGGTGCGGTCCAGAACCTTAACTCGACCATCACAACCCTACCCCGAGTCAGAAAGCACACAACTTCTACACCACGGCGCCAGAATCTCAGTATCTCAACCCATGAGCTAAACATGCAACTTTATGCTGCTTCCAAAAACTGGCTAAATCCACTCTATCTCACGGAACACACCTTGCTAGGGTTTACGTTGAAGCTCCGAGTTGCGTATACAGCATGAATATTAATATTCATTTAGCGTGAGGTTAGGATGTATCAGCTCTGATACTGGCGTGTATGAAAACTCCGGTATTACATCAACTAGCTTTGACTCCTATGTAAACAATCAAAGCGGAATAGTACCGATATGGGATTTTTGCGTTGCCGGAGCTAGCAGACAGACATGCGGGTGTTTGGAAGGATAGAGGAAGTGTATGAAGCGTAGATTGTGGAGAGAGCTATCACTTTCACGACTCCGGAGTTCAAAGAACTCGAAATTAGCACGTAAATGGGGTGAACCTACGAGGAGTTGTTTACCGGAATCTCGTTTTCGGTATACACTTAGCAAGCCATGGCTGACCGATGCACCCGAATCATCGATCCGAAAGATGTTTATCAAGTCGGCTCCCCAACACAGATTTCGATTATTCTCCAGTCCTCTCTCATCATCACTATCATCACCGTCTATTTCACCTTCACAAATATCTCTTTCGCCCTATTCATAGCCTCCTTAGTTCTCGTTTAGATCATAATGGCCCATCTCACACCAGAGTATATCTTGCACCTTTACGACACCTTCGGAGAGCTCAGGGTGCTCGACGATATCATCCGCCATCGTTCCAAAGATAATCCTCCTGCTCCTATCTTGGGATACCCTAGAGTTGAAGATAACCCAAGCGATTACGAGACCTTTACTGGTCAGCAACTCGATTCATTCGTTGATGCTGCTTGCAAATACTTCATCGAAAATGGCTTGAAACCTGTAAGTCAATCTAATTCTCCCTCAAAACTTACTTGGACTCGGCTGATTTTATAATCAGGGCGGAAAAGAGGTTATTGGTGTATACTCCCCGTCCAATGTCGACTTCGCCGTCACCTTCTTCGCTCTCAGTCGTCTGGGCTACACTGTCCTATGTCTGTCACTTCGTATAGCACCCATAGCTATCATCAACCTTCTCGAGCAAACTAAATGCGAGGTCATAATCCGTGGTGATACTTCACAGATCGCTGCTACCTGCGATGCCGTCGCACAGGAGACTACTCTTAAATCTGTCGTTATTCCTATGCGTGCTCAGTACGGAGTACCACGCCCAGCAAACGAGAAGCTGTTCACAAGAGAATTTGATCGTGAAGTTGAGACAAATGAAATCGCTCTCGTCATGCACAGTTCTGGATCAACCGGTCTACCTAAACCAGTCTTCCTTACTCACAAGAATGTGTTGACTCATCCAGTGCAAGGTGCTGGGTTGCACAATTTTGGTGCACTTCCATTATACCACATGTATGGTCTATCAACAACACTCCAAGCGATGTACATGGCAAAGAAAGCAAACTTGCCCAGTGCCACTCTGCCAATGACAGCAGACAATCTTATGCTTGCAATCGAAGCAACACAACCTGAGGTCTTCCACGCTGTTCCATATGCTTTGGGACTCTTGACTGAGCACCCAAGAGGTATGGCATACCTCAAATCGGCCAAAATTGTTACCGCAGCTGGAGCCCGTACTCCCGACGAGCTTGGTGATCTTTTGGCTGCGGAGAAGGTCAACATTGGTGTCGTGTTTGGAACGTGAGTAAATCCTTTCAAACGATATTGTGATATCTAAGCTAACTCAAACTAGTACCGAAGCAGGTCTTCTTGGTGACACTATGCGTCGCCCTGATGGAGATGATTCATGGAACTACGTGCGAATCTACTCCAACATCCGAAGCTCCATCTACATGGATCCAATTGGAGAAAATCAATTCGAGTGTGTCTACCTCAAGAGTCATCCAGGATTGTCCGTCTCGAATTCGGATGATCCCGCACCAGGTTCATGGCGCTCAAAGGATGTGTTCTCGCCCCATCCAACCATCCCTGATACTTGGAAGTATGTGACTCGTCTTGATGACCGTGTTACCTTGAGCAATGGAGAAAAGGTTCTGCCACTTCCTATTGAAGGTCGTCTTCGACAAGAAGAAATCATCCGTGAAGCTGCTGTCTTCGGTGTGGACAGAGCCATTCCGGGTGTTCTGATCTTCAGAGCTTCCGATGAACTACCAGATGACGAATATCTCGAGGCTATCTGGCCAGCTGTCGTTGACGCCAACTCTCGTGCTGAGGGATTCTCTCAAATTACCAAGGACATGGTTGGTCTCGTACCTTCAGATATCGAATATCCAAAAACCGATAAGGGAAGCATCATTCGCGCACAAATCTACAAAAAGTTCGCGGATAAGATTGATGAATTGTATGAAAGTTTCGATGGAGACGCGGAAGGAACTCTGAAACTCGATCTAGCTGGAACTGAAACTTTCCTGACCGAGACCTACGAAGAAATTACAGGCCACCCTCTGGAGTCTATTGATACTGATTTCTTCAATGCCGATATTGACAGTTTGAGAGCCATTCAAATGAGACGTACAATCCAAAAGACCCTCGACTTGGGCGGCCAACAATTGAGCAGTAACGTTGTCTATGAACATGGAACTGTCAAAGCTCTAGCGCAATACTTGTTCTCCTTGAGTTCTGGTGAAGGTGAACAAAACGAGGATAAGGTCCCATTAATGGAATCACTGATTCAGAAGTACTCCACTTTTGGAGAGGTTGTGGCATGTTCATCTTTTCTCGCTTTAACGATGTTCAAATGCTTACATAAGAATAGATCTTGACTGGTGGTACTGGTTCATTGGGTGCACACGCCTTGTACCAAATGGTCAACAGCCCTAAGTTCAGAAAGGTATACTGCCTTGTTAGAGGAGAAAACCCAATGGACAGAATCTTGAAATCTATCAAGGACCGAGGATTATCTCTTACCCCTGCAGCAAAGTCTAAGGTTGTCGCATTTACTGCTGATCTTGCTCTGCCTGATCTCGGCCTTGGTAAAGCTATGATTGAGCAATTCAAGACTGAAGTCTCACTCATCATTCACTTGGCCTGGTCCGTAAACTTCATCATCAGTCTACAAAGTTTCGAGCCCCATCTTGCTGGTTTGAAGAACCTTTTGGATCTCTCGCTTGCCGTCTACCGTTCAGAACCCGCTCGTCTGTTCTACGCTTCCTCCATCTCCACGGCCGAAAACACACCAGCTCCAGCTCTCATCCCAGATGCACCAATTGAGGATTTCCATAATGCATTGAACATGGGTTATGCTCAATCTAAACTGGTCGGCGAATACATGGTTCTCAACGCTGCTCGCGGTGGAGCACGAGCTTACGCTCTCCGCATTGGACAAATTGTTGGAGATAGAGAAAACGGTTTCTGGAACGAAGCCGAATTTGTGCCCTCCATGATCCGATCTGCTCTTTCCATGAAAGCTCTCCCAATATTCCACGAGAACTGCTCTTGGATTCCAGTCGATACCCTCGCAACCGCCATCCTAGAGATTGACGAGAAACTCAAGGCTGATCCCCGACCATGCGCCGTCGACAGCACCAACCCTCCCATCATTTACAACATGGTTAACCCAGCCACTTTCACCTGGGAATCACTTCTCGGCGCACTATCCAATGCCGGTCTCGATTTTGAAGCCATCTCCTTCGGAAACTGGTTACAGAAACTCCGAGAATCAGCTGCAAATGGTCAGGAAGAAGAGAACCCCGCCGTCAAACTCTTGGATCATTTCGAACAGCGATATCTCCAAAGTAACAACGGTCATGAATATAGTGGTGCGGAAGCTGACACGGCTTCAAGCGGTACAAGCAGTCCTCGAAGCAGCGTCTCCGGAGCTACTCCTTCGAGCAGCAAGGCTACTAGTATCAGCGATTACGAAATCGTCGGTGTGGCTTTTGATACAAAAGCTATATTGAGGGATAGTAAGGTTTTGGAAAATCCCCCAGATATTATTCAGGATGGGTATGTCAAGCAGTTTTTGAGCCAATGGTTGAAAAAGTGGGTTAAGTGATGGGATGGGAAGGAAGCGTTTGGGTGAGGGGATATGATATGATGTAATGAGATTATGGTAGACGGTATTTTTTTCTGGGTTATTGTTTCTCTTTCTTTTGTTGGGGTTTAGCGTTTTGTTTCCGTTTTGTTTCTATTTCTTGTAATCAATCTTTTTTAATTTACTGCTTTATGATCGATCAATTGGAATAACTGTTAGAGGAGTTCTAAATGTACTCTCTGTGTGAGAATCAATACTTGAATTGTGGATGTTTGATATACCCTGTAATTTGGTGTGCGTAGCCTGAATGCTACTTGATAATTGATACTTTTCGCTATAAGTCAGTGTCCTTCCTGTATTTTAAGCGAGTGTCCATTCGTTCCAAAGGTACTAACTAGAGCTAATATATCATTATGAACGTTTATTAAGCCTTTCAATCCTCAAGTCGTATATACCTCAAAGCTGAATATCAGATTTATTCATCGCAATGTGTCTATACTCGTGAGAGTAATCTGTAACGCATACCGTGACATCTCCATGCTTCAATGCTCATCCATCCTATGCCATGCATGCCATGTGTACCGCATGAGTGCGGAATTATATTACAAGTATATCGTAATTATATCTCCATAGCAACTTCGACGTAGAATCCTGCTACATACGGGTGCAATTATTAATTGTCATTTATCAATTATCTTTCATGACTCGTATTAACCTTAACAAGTAGAAATTGTTTTCTTACTTTACCGGTATCTGATACATCATTTTTGTCATTGCAGTATTATCTACGAGTAGATTAGACGAATGTCTTATGATCTGACCTGATTTCGCACCTGCCTGCTATTGTAGCGTTGCAGCTTTGCAGCTTTGAAAATAGATTATCGCCCAGCAAAGACCCAACTGAAAATTTATTTTACGTTTTGACGAAGTCGGGTCTTGTTGTGTATACTCGAGTACAGTATTCTCACAAGCAAGCCACAAGCCTTAAGCCTAATCATAAAGATATAATGTATTGATTACATTATACAACAGTACAATGCAGTAACATATGCGTGTGTCCCAGTACGCTATACTCGAGTACATTTACAGTCTTAGCAGTTTGGGTGGGACGGAAATATAAATAGATAAAATGCCCAGATATGGGCTTGGGCTTGCGTGAAGAAACAAGGCTTGAACAAAGTCACAGTATTGTACTCGGGGTTCGACTTGGGGTTTGTTTGTACTGATATGCGCTTACTGTGTAAAAATTGTAGGTCTTAGGTTGAAGTTTGGCTTTGTACCCTTTGTACTCGGGGTAGGTGAACTTTGACATTTGTGAAGCGAGGCGAGGTTTGCTCCGATGTCGCGGGAGATGTCGCTGGAGATATAGTATTGATTATGCTAATATAAATTTGAGGATATGCATACTAGGTAAATATTAGATGGATGTTTGATATTGGGTACTGTGGGTGTTGTGGGTATTGTAATGTAATAATAATGTGATTGTGATGGGTGGTGTTGTAGAAAATATAGAAATGGTAAAATTGTCACGGTATTTATATGTACCCCGCAATCTCAGCCATTGTACTGTATTTTGATAGTAATAGCCACATACCTTGATATCATTTTCTTGAGGATAAGTCTAGAGCGTATCCATTATCCAATAGATGTCGATGTTGTAAGTTTAATGTCAAAGCTATTTGATTGGTCTACTTTTGAACCAAAGTTTATCCATAGTTCAATATAAATCTCAATATTCACATCGAAACCGAAGGGTCCAAGTTGGAGAGGATCTTTTTCCCGAGTTCCTCCTTTTCTCTCTTGCTTGGCATCATTACTGTTTCTATGTAAATAATCGGAATATTGGAATATTGTATTAAATCAAGATTTTGAACTCGATTTTGAACATCGATGTCGATTACAATATCAAATCCTCGTGACACCTATTGTACCAAGAGATGTTCTAAATCGCCCCAAATAAACACCATAATCCTCTCTCCCAAGATCTCCTAATACCAAAGTGCTTTGTTCCAAAACAAGCTCTTGTTGTTGGCTAAGATATCATCTTGAACAAGAGTTTCCTCCCCGTAACGGCCAATACAAGTTATCATCCGGCCACATTGTATTTGGATCCCCAGTCACGATAAAAGACACCAAATACTTCTGCATCTGGAGCGCAACATCGTGATCAATATCTGTCGTTGTAACAATGCCTGCACTTGCCGCAGTAGTTGTAGTAGTCGTAGTGGTATTTGTTTCCACAAGAGTAAAATTGCTGTACCAGTAATAGTTTTGATCCATGCCGTGAGTGGCTACACCGAGAGCTACCATGGCGTTCCAGGTTTGGTTGTTGAGGGCTTCGGTTAGGGCGTAGTTGTGAGCGACGAGTTCGAAATCTTGATCAATGTCGGCAAAACGGAGTCCTTCGCTTGTGTAGTCGGTTGAAGGGTATAGGTCTTGTATTTCATCGATGATATCATCGGTGATGGAGGGAAAATAGAGTTGGAGGTTGGGGGCAATATCCGAGCTGGTATTTACGCCGCTAGGTAACACGTTGTTGATTTTGTGGAGTTCGTGAGTTATGACAAGGGGGCCAGTAAAGTTGAATCGTTTTAGATAAAGCTGCGCTTCGTCTGTTGGTTTGTTTAGCAATTGATGGAGTGATGAAGTGAGAATTCGGACATACACGTATCGGCAATAAAGTCACCGTCTACGCGAGGTTGGAATCGGTATGTGTAGTTGGATACCATGTTAGTAGCAGCGGTGGAAAGGGTATCAAATTCGACAGAGCGCATACATGTCAAGCTACCCCCAGTGCATCCAACCGCCGAGGATACATTCTGCCAGAATATCTAAATTCTTCATGAGCTTTCAACACTGAAAGAAGTAGATAAGATATCAGAGCTTACCTCGGATTGTTGATGACCAGCTCCGGGTACGTATCCTGGTGACATGAGGTAGGCACGAGCAAAAGTCTGCTCGGCACGACCAGCAAATTTCTATCCACAAGTATCAATCAACAATTCAATTTTCAGCCTGGGAGAAATCGGGTTTTTACCGTAATCTGGAAAAGATCCTGTGAAGCGCCAGCAGAAAATCCAACTGCTACTATTTCTTTTGGATTACCACCCCAATAGCTGATATACTTTTTGACCCAATCAAAAGCATGTGCAGAATCCCAAACTACTGCATTTGAGGTGCCACCTTCGTGATTGAGGGTTGGCCCATTAGCAAGACCTGTCATACCAAGTCTATAATTATAAGCAACGAAGATGAATTCCTTGCTCAGAGAGAAGAGAGCTTTGGGAGTGACTGCAGTTTTACTTCCGAAGATAAATCTACCACGACTCCAAACAACTACAGGTAGACTCTTGTTGACACTGTTCGCAGGTGCCCAGACATCTAGGTACAAACAGTCCTCGTGGGTTGCGCAATCGACATCTGCTGCAGCTAGAGTACCATTGCTCACAATTGTCTCTACAGCTGTGGCTTTGCGAAACGAAGATCACCAGTTGGAACAGCGGCATAACGAATGTTTTGGTACTTGTAATGCCCGATTTATTCGCTACCGGCAGTGGCAATAATGGTCGAATAATCCAATGTAACAGATGGCATGGAGGTGGCTGTGGTAGTTGCGGCACCAACGACGGCAGCCACTGAAGCTACCATCGGCAACAATAAATATGTATGGAAACGCATGATGGGAATTGGTTGACAGAACTCGGGAAGGAAGCTTGGGACGAAACAAAACGAAACGAAACAAAGGGAGAAGTTTAGCCAAGGGAGAAGTTTAGCCAAGGGATAAATCTTGAAAAGCTTCCAATCTTTCGACGGAGAATGGAAAAAAAGCCAGCATTTGCCCAGTCGTGGACGGTTCCCCATAAGTGGATTTGTTTCCCTTGATTTGCAGTGCCGGTCAGTGGTCACTAGACCATTTTGCAGGTTTAAATGACGGTACTTGAACTGTTCCTTTAGTCTAGTGATGATTATTCAAAGGCGCGACTAATTTGGTTGAAATGTGCTCCCACCACGCTGATCACAGACAGTTCCTTCCATACTGTGCTTATAAGGCTTGTGTTAAATGTAAATCTGGATCTTGTATAATCCTATGAGGACCAGTGAGCTGTCACTGGTGTTTGTAATTTTGGGGGTTTTGAAGCCTACCGGTCAATCTTGCAGATGGGCCAGCATGTATGCATGTTGAACACGTTGAAGAATGCATCGACACGATCTCTCATTTCCGTCAAACCCCGAGACAGCAAGGTGGTTGAGGAAGATAACGGAAGCTATAGACAAAGCATATCTTGTCTCAGTACAGCTGTACCATCTTCCATTTTCCGGGATTTCACCGAGCCATCAGCTCGTCGTTATCGGCAACGCCGAGGACGGTCCAGACTTCTAATGTTTATGGCGTGTTTGCCACAGGCGATCTATTTCGAGGGAATCGAGACCGAAGAAAAGATTTATATCATGGTTCTACTGGTCTGGCAACTATCTCTCGGGATATCAAACTTTGATTTATCCGCGGGCTTCTGCCGTCGTCACATCTACTATCCTGATCGTGGAGGAAGATACCGGGACACTCTTTTTGAAACAGCCTTAGTAGACCCAGTCACAAAAAGATTGATTCTGTATCTCCCCAGTATATCTCGCTTCACCTTCCATTTCATTTCGTTTGCTTTTATCATCTTAGCGTAGCAGATGCTAAATGGCAATTATAGTAAGTGGCAATACTCGAGTACATTTTGCGTCAAGGATATCTTTATTCAGACTCAAGGATGAGTCTACAAAGTCTTGGCTTTTCTCCAAGCTTCATGTTTTGAGCCTCGTCCTGAATTTCCCAGTTATAATGTGTATTGCACTCTCTCGTTCCAATTCCCATAAGCGAAAACCTCCTTTGTTTTATCAAAATCAGAGATCCCTGATTGTCGAGCTGACGTCATGGCCAAGCGCGAAAAGCTAAGGGGTATTGAGAGACACCGATGTTCCATAGGGGTGTTGCTATTATACCAGAAATTAGTTGCATAGATACAATAATTTGAATCTGCGTCCATACTTTCACTAAAATTCCACACGATGTGCTTCCCATCTGAGACCATATACCTCCAAGCAGCCATGCTAATCAGCTATACTCAGCTATATATATCCATTCATTCACACCAAATTACACAATCTATCAATCCTCCCTACCACACCATTCCTCATCCCTCTAACCCTCATCTACTAATTGTAAAATTAACCCCCTAAATAACTCTTCATCTACTAAATGTAAAATTAACCCCCTAAATAACTCTCCATCTTTATATATACCCCATCCTAAATCATCTACTTCTCGTTTATTTCTCGTGTCTCCATTTTCCCTCGACACAAAGATCAGCATCCATGAGAATAATCCCTCTACACCTCAGTTCTTGGACGTCAATTCTTTCATTACCAACCCATATCTTCTAGTTGAATAATTTTCGAAGTTGAATGAATCGAGAAGTAGGGAATTTGTAGAACAGGCATATCCTGACGAGAAATAACTAATAATTTATAAGTCCTCCATGTACAAGTAATTCTACGAATATCGTAGAAAAGATTGCACTGTAGAAAAGGAGGTGCTATTATTGTTGATTCCCTCGAAGAGCATTATTTTATATTTCATTGCATTGCATTCTCAATTGAGAAGGCCAGAACCCTGATACTCTGAAAGCATATGTCTGAAAGTGATACATCGCAACACTTCGACTTGAGCTCCGTGTTATATTTTATATCCTCAATCAGATAGAGTTTTGAAATTTCCCTGCTTGAATGTGTACACGATATACTCGAGTATCTGAAATGTATAGTAGATATAATGGCTAATCATGAAAGGTTTCATGAATCATGGATGATGAAAAACAGAAGTCATTTCCTTTCGAAACCTATTCGGTTCTCTACGGAATGAAATGAAATGAATCTACATGTCAATGTTGAGATGTTTCTGTAACTATATCGTTTAGCTTCTGCTATCATGACTTTAGAACTTGCATCGGTGAACTTGAGGAATCCTGTAATTGAATGTGGATGTGTGTGTATGTGTGCTTCCAATCCCTAGCACACGGGAGCCGCAAGGAGTTCTTTCTGAAAGTGTCAAGTGCTGAGAGTATAGTATACGGTGCTCATACTTTCAAAGTTTAGATTTACACCATACCTGTGTCAATACAGACTTCTGTGTTCAAAACCAAGGTTGTATTTGTGATAATTTATACTGGAAAAGAGCTGTTGATAACTGGAAGCATATTTGAAGCTAAAACTCATATGTTGTGCCTCTCGTCTACTATATTGGTTTATGAGTATTCTGGCAGAAGTCTTGCTTGACAATCACTCATTGAAAGATCTTATCCTAGCGGATGTGGCACAGGGAAACGTCACTCTTGCCTCCTTTCCGGTTACTGTGTAAGCTACCGATACTCCTATTCTATTATTTCCATAAAAGTGCATTCCAGTATGACAGTAATTTTATATAATTTATTCCAGCAGCACATTATTCCGAAACAGCTCGTAGGATAAATTTTCTTCCTTTCTCAGTATTGCATTCCTCTTTCTTGTCTAAGTTCAACTTTACAAGCTCAAACCTATGAACTCATATTTACAAAACGTCGTACAGTATACTATCTTTTCCGGATGTACATCTCGACACATGGGCTTTTCAATACTTAACAATTATGTACAGTATACTTGCTGCTTATTTTATCTGTCTCTGAATTTTTAGCTTGGTTTTGCTTTTTGTATACTACTCATATTTTATAGATTTCTACCAGGGCAGTAATATTTCCCAAGTAAAGGAAAGTCTTCCTTGTTATTCATCCAGTTTTCTTCATAATTAAATACATCAATCACTTATTACAAAGGTCCAAAAGTCATATTATAGCTAGCTACCTTCGAGCATTGGGAATTTGATTTATGGTTGCTTTAAACTATATCTCGTATTAGTATCGTTGAGTAAAGTTCCATCTAGTTTATTGTCATCAATTTTCTGGCCTCTCATTGTGATCATGAACTTCCGACTGTCATCATTTTCATCCCTTACTCGTCTCGCTATCACCTTTCATTCCCTTGCTCTCTAATGATATTCCCTGATACAACTCTCATACACCATTATATCTCTCCTCTCTCATTGTATTCTCCACAAACAAATACCTAAACTAAGCACACAACCAACCAACCAATCAAATGTGATTGATATATGCTTGTACTTTCCATACCATCTCAACTCAAAACCAGTCACTTATATACTTTTACCTCAACAGCTCATCACTCTCCTCCATCAATTTCAGCCCCCTTCCTCAAATTCTTTCCCAAACCCACACCTCATATCCCTTTCCTCATTCCTCATTCCTCATTCCTCATTCTCAAGTTCCATCCATCCTCATACATATATAAAACATAAAACAATATCCACCCAATACAAACACAAACCATACATTACTCCAACCCATCCCATCCCATCCCAACCCATCCCAACTATAACTTTAAAATTCCCACATATCTCTCTCTCTCTCTCTCTCTCCATTGCCATCATTACCAATATTGACATCTCCAGAGTCTCCAGAGTCTCCACACATACCCTACCAGGGCCTACCAGGGCCTACCTACACTTCAATTACTGTACTGTACTCGAGTAATAGGAATGAATACCTACCTACCTACTCGTACCTACTACTCCAGTACAATAAAATACTCCATATCAAATCTCCAAATCCCCAACCAACATACACTAGTAAACATACACTACAATAATAATACTACTCTCTCTCGTATATACCCAACGCAAACACTAAACACAAACATTAAGTGTGCATAAACCTTCAAGTTGATCTTCCAAGTTTGTATTGTAAATGTCATAATCGAGTATATATATATGAATATGGGATTTTGTTGTTAGGAAGAGGAGGACGGATTCTATGCACTACTCTTAGAACTATAGATTTATCATCGATATTAGTTACTCGAGTAAAAATTTGTGTTTTTTTCGATGAGTAGTATTGAATATTAGCTTCCCTATTCTATATATTATCATCTCATTCCTATTCTCATATCCTTTCCCATTTCCCATCTCCCATCTCCCATCCCCCATCTCCCATCTCCCATCTCCCATTTCCCATCTCCCATCTCCTATCTCCCATCTCCCATCTCCCATCTCCTCTCCTCTCCCCTCCATCTCCCCACCCTTTCTCATATCATCTTATCCCTCCGAGTCATCTTCAAGTTTTTCCCCATCTTATCCCTCCGAGTCATCTTCAAGTTCTTCCTCATCTCATCACTCATAGCTTTTGAACACTGGCAGGGGTAGATACTAGTCTACTAGGTAACCGGTATTGATTACTCGTACTTAAAAGTAACCATAACCATAACCATAACCAAAGCCATAACCAAAGCCATAAATAAGTTAAAGATAATACTCGAGTATAAAACATAAAACATAAATCTTATACAAGAAATGCAATACAATACAATATAAAAATAGTAGAACAAAATTGAATAGACTGAACTAGACTGGACTGGATTGAGCCAAAAGAAAAGGAAGGAAAAGTGAAAAATTACGAGTAGAAAGTACTCAAGTTAAAATAATACCAGTATCACTACAGATTCTCATTCGAGACTCTAGATGTAAGCGGGTGTGTTTGCAATAATAATGATGATAATCAATAATGCTAACGATCAATAAGCAAGAATATATTGAATCTACTACTCGATGAGGAGAAGAAGAAAACTTTTGAGTTGGGTTTAAAGAAAGCGTTTCATTTCTCATCTTTCATCTCATCTCTCATCTTGAACCCCACCGATCCTCATCCCCAATTCCCAAAATAATGCAGAACATTATCATAATCTCCCAACCATCACACGACCAAACACAAACACAACATCTCCATCCTAAGTCCTCAACACCCCCATCTAATTTGGAAGTCCCCCATTTTGAATCCTATCCAAAATGCCCTCAAACTCCCTCCACTCCCTCATCAAAACCTTACACCCCGCATCCCTCAACACCCCCTCCATCTTCTCCCTCTCCTCCACCTCATAACTACCCACATACCCCACCGTAAGAATGCCCGCCCTGACTGCCGCCGTCGCTCCACTCTTACTATCCTCTATCGCTAGACACTCCCCTGCTTGCACCCCCAATTTCTCCATCGCATGGAAATAAACCGCTGGATCTGGCTTACTCGTCGGCACTGGCAAACTAGTCGCAGCACTATACACTCTATCCCCAAAATATTTATCCTGGCCTACCTTCTCCACACTAGCCCTGAGCCTCCTCAACGCACTCGAGCTCACAACCGCCATCACATACTTGTCTTCCTTCTCCAACCTCACCAATACCTCATCCACCCCCTCACATGGCTTTAACAACGCCTTCAATTTCGCAATCACTTTATCCTCTTCTTTGCTGACATAACTCTCGAGTTCGGCATCATCCATCGTATATTGATATTTAGCCTTGAGACTTGCGATCATGCCGCGGAAATTCTGCCCCACGAATTCAGCGAGGAGTTGGGGACCAGTATAGCGGTCGGAGATGCCGCGGGTTGAGAGGATTTCATTGGCGAGATCGGCGCAGGCTTCGAAGGCGAGGCTTTCGGATAGGACGAGGGTGTTGTCGCAGTCAAAGAGGAGAGTGTTTATCTAGTGGGTTGGAGGGAGGGATTAGCGGTCATGTGGAGAGAAGGGGAGTGCGGGGTATATAAACTTGAGAAGATAATCATGCTAGAAGTGAAGCATGAGTGAGTAAAAGGAGAGGAAAAACAAACAGGTGCCATAATTGCAATCGTTCTAGAACTTGCTAAAGACTTTCTGCTTTCTTATTTCGATTTATATCTTAACAAACAACTGAATGAATACCGGTCGGTACTCTGAAAGATTCGTTTTTCGAATTAAACAGTAACAAATAGGTAATGTAATCCAGGATATTCAGATACCGGTATGTAAATCAGCTCTTTCTTTCTTTCTATCTCTTTGAATCTATGTATGATATGGTATCTCAAACAAAAACCGAGAAATCTTGAACGTGTATGAGAAGTAGAGTAGAAGAAAGCTGTATGTCATGAAGTAAGTAAGAGAACAAGAAAGGTTGGGAGAGGAAGGATCAAAACCATACAATATGCATTTATTTGTTGAATAAGTGGGTGGGGTGCCATCACATCACATTCCCTCTAACCCCTTCCCCTCCCCCCTTCCCCCTCCACCGCAGCTTACCATGCCATGTGTAACCCCGCCATTTCATCCGCATTTCATCCTCCTAGCTTCTTCCTAGCTTCCTCCAATCATATGATATACTCAACATCAATTGCGGGTCCCATTTCCATTTTCTTCCCCATCGAACCTACCTAGATAGATCTATCCAATACCGTAGCCAACCACTACCTACCTACATCCATCCATCCATCCATCCATCATTCAAAACATCCACAAACTCAGACATCCAGACCGCTACTACCTACCTACCTACCTATCACTTTTGTATTTTGATTTTTGTGCTACCCTCCTCATACATCCACTCACCGTACACATGTTGTCTCAACCGATTATAATTCGTTTGTATTACCACCCACACACACCACAGGTTCAACAAGATTGATTGTTGGGCACTAATCCAAGAGTTATCATCATCGGCCCGTGGATAAAGTTCACTCTCATGCTCACTCATGCTCACTCTCACAAACACTCTCACTATTACTCACAAGATCTTGTTTAGCCATCTATCCATCCATCGATACATTTTCTCATTCAACACACATTTGATTTAAATCCATTTAAATCCATTCAATTCAATTCCATGTAATTGCCTTATACCGAGCCGTATTTGTACCCAGGTACTTGTACAGTACCTCTCTATAACCATGTATTCCGAATTCAACCCTAGGGAATACAATACATTCAATCATTCGTTGCTCATCCTCATACTCATCGTATTCATGTCCATGTTCATGTTCATGTCCATGCCAAGTGAAGTCCTCCACCACTTATTCCTAAAACCCCCGAATATACATATGCAAGTAACTGCTTACTCCTGCAATTATCCTGATGACTTTCATGTCACCCAAATAGTGTCCTAGTGTCCTAGTGTGTCCTCAAATAATTCAGTTACATGCAATGCATGCGATAAATGCATGCACTCTATGTAACTGTATGTGTTTCTTTCTCAACCAATCCATCCACACATGTACATATATTTCAGAGGTATCCATTGGTATCAAAACCACAACAGGAAGAGACCAGAAACGCCGAAATCATCCACCTATAGTGCCATGCCGTTCATCCATCCATCCATCCATCCATCCATTACTCATTTATGAATAATGACTTCCTCAGGGTTGACCAATCACCGGAATATTATCATAATTGCCCGTGGGGAACTGAGCTCTGCCCGTTCTCGAATTTTGCGATCCGCCATACCCACTCGCACTATAACCCGTGTATGCCGTTGACGCTTCCAAATCATCATGATGCGCCGTCGAAGTAGCTGCATACGAACCTCCATAACTCGAAGGTTCGTAATCGGGAGAATGGACTCTGCCTACGAAATTTCCTCCTGGGTATCCATCATCGTGTAATTCGTGTTCCTCGTGTTCTTCGGCGTGGTGCACTGGTGCGTATTCGTCGTCGTGGGGTGCAGTTGAAAAGGCTTCTTTGTCGGGGTCGATCATGGCTGCGTTATTGGGGGCTCTGGAGGCGCCCGGCAGATAGCCTTCTCGTCGGTAATACATGAGGCCGTAGACTGACATTACGGTCGAGAGGATCCAGAAGAGCCTGATATTTGGAGTTAAAATCGCTTGCACAAATAAGGAGTCAAGAGGGAGAGCATCGGAAAACATACCATGAAAATACACCTAAGCCAACAACTGCCTTGCTCACTTTACATGCACTTCCACATTTCCCTGTCGAATTCCAATTCGCAACAGCTGCAAATGCCGATAAAGCCATGATACACCACACGAGATCAATAACCAACAACGCATAAGGATTGGCGAATTTTCTGGTCCTGGGAAATCGGACGGTCATGGTAAGATATATCACGGCAGGTAATACCAAGAAAGTCTATTTTTCAAACATCAGTAACAGTACTGAATCCATCTGCGAAACGAAGAGAAATAACATACAAAACCGAAATTCCACCCAAGTCTACCATCAATAATAGCAGTGGATCGCATAACAATGATATCCAATACCCATATGACTACCGCTATAGCCAGCTGTGCAATATGTATCGCCAGTTTATATTTCTGTAGATTATGTATTGAGAATTCCATCTTGAATCTTGACAATGTGTTGATTGATCCGAGCGCAATCAAATGCGAGGTTGGTATTTGGTATTGGTATTTGGTATATATTCCGAATCTCGTATTCGTTGGGTACGTATCTATGTATGTATTGTATTCGAGCGGCTGAAGATAAAACCCAGGTGTTGTCTGTTTGCTTGATGATTGTTTTGGTATGTGCGAAAGACGTATGTAATACAATAAAATAATATTCACGATTCGATTCGATTCGATCTCGAGAGAACGGAAAAAAAAGAGTTCTTGAACTGTAATGTAATGTAATGTAAATAAGAGAAAAGAACCACAAAATCTGCCCAGCCACTGCAGTGATGAATGAATGATGAATGATGTAGGTGACGAGAATAAGGCAGAAACTAGGTATGAATCACAATATATAAAAAAAGAGGCTCATCAACTCATACGCGTATTCTTTTTGGGCTTCTACAAGTACTTCACTCCCCAGCCGGCTCGATATTTTTATGAAATCTTGATAACTTGACTTGGTTGCTCCTTGGTTGCTCCTTGGTTGTTATGTCGTTATGTCCTGTCCTGTCCCATCGAATCAAGTGGAGAGGAAATTGGAGTTGTGATGTTTATTTTAAGTAAATGAGTAAATGATTGGGTCAACTTGAAACAATATGGTTGTAGCTGAGCAACCAGTACCAATCAATAAGACTAGTAAAACTAAGATATATTGAGAAGGCTGAGACTTGGAGAGGCTGTGTATGTAATACGGTGATATTGTGAAAATATATGAAATGAACTTTGATATAAAAATAATATAAAACGGTTTTTCATGATTTTGTATGTCGATTATTGCTGTTGATTGTTGTTATATGTATTATTATATATCGATAAAGTCTACGGATGAGTATGCATTATAATAAGTATGAACAATATTTGAAGCCATTCCCAATTATTCAACAACTCACTTCATTACCTATCTTCTAGCAAATCCACCAATGCATCACTTATCTCCAAATGGTTATCATCGCCGACACGGAACTTCAATGATATTATGAAATTTGCGATGATTCAATTTATTTCCATTATCAGGCACCAGAAGATGCTTTTGAGCGTGTCGGTGAGTAAGTGAGTCTGTGAATGGTTGATTTTTTTCAAAAGATTTTCATCTTGTTCAACAAACATTGCTTTGTTCTTCTACGAGTATATATACATATATGTATTCCATTTTTGGTAGTATTTATTATCTTCATTATACTATCTTTACGCTGCAATGATATAGACAAATAGACAGACAGACATTACACAACCTTCAATCCGACTCAAGATGTCTTTATCCCACCACTCAGACGAAGAAACACCCCTCCTCGCCGATCCCATAACTTCACCATCCTCTTCCCAAGACCATCCTGCATCTGCAGAAGCATCAATCATCCCAAATGAACCAAGCACCAAGCGCTTAGCCATAACCCTCGGAGCCATCTGGGTAGGCGTCTTCCTAGGAGCTCTCGACTCCACCATCATCGCCACCCTTTCCGCCAGCATCTCCACCTCCTTCCAATCCCTCTCTCTCCTCTCCTGGCTCGCATCCGCCTACCTCATCGCAAACGCCGCATGCCAACCTCTGTCCGGTCGTCTCACCGATATATTCAGTCGTCGCACCGGCCTCATTGTCAGCAACATACTTTTCGCAGCCGGTAACCTGATATGCGGGCTGGCAGATAGCGAATGGATGATGATATTTGGACGAGTGGTGGCGGGGTGCGGAGGTGGTGGCTTAATGGCTATTAGTACTTTTGTGGGAAGTGATTTGGTTCCGCTTAGGAAGAGGGGGGTGGTGCAGGGCATTGGGAATATATGTTATGGGACGGGTGCGGGACTTGGCGGGGTTTTTGGGGGTTGGATTAATGATACTTGGGGGTGGAGAATGGCTTTTTTGGCCCAGGTTCCTTTTATTATCGTTTCCGGAATCTTGGTAGCGTGGCTCGTCAATATCCCTCCTAAGAAAAGCGAGAGGTCGAAATTATCACGGGTGGATTTCATGGGTTCATTCGCTTTGATCCTCACGCTCATCCTTCTTCTCCTGGGCTTAAATTCCGGTGGAAATATCGTTCCCTGGAACCACCCCCTCGTCTATGTTTCCCTTCCGCTCTCCCTCGCCTCCCTCCTCGGATTCATATACATCGAACTCTACCTTGCCTCCGAACCCATCATCCCCGTCCGTCTCCTCGCAAACCGCACCGTCGTCGCCGCTTGCCTCACCAACTGGTTCGTCACAATGGTAATCTTCATGATTCTCTTCTACGTCCCCCTATACTACCAAGTCCGAGGTGAATCCACCACTGCCGCCGGTATGCGTCTCATTCCCCAATCCATCGGAGCCTCCATCGGCTCTCTCGGCTCGGGAATCATCATGAATCGCACGGGCAAATATAAATCCATAAGTCTCATCACACTCACCATGCTCGTTATCGGAACCGCTCTACTCTCAACTTTAAATTCAAATAGTCCAGATTGGCCCATATATATCTACCTAACCCTAACCGGTATCGGCTACGGCGCCACTCTCACCACCACCCTCCTAGCCATCATCTCAGCAGTCTCCCATGATCACCACTCCGTCATCACATCAGCCTCCTACGCTTTCCGCTCGACCGGTAGCACCATAGGTATCACGATTGCAAGCGCGGTGTATCAGAATATACTAAAATCAGATCTATGGGAGAAATTCGGAGATCAACCGGATGCGGAAAATGTGATTGGTAAAATTCGGAACTCGTTTGATGAATTGGATAGGCTTCCTGTTGGGTGGAGAGAGGGCGTTGTAGAATGTTATATGCATGCTTTTAGGGGGGTTTTCTTGACGGCGGTGGGGTTGGCGTTGTTGATGGCGGCGGCGGGGGCTTGTATGAGGCAGAATGTTTTGCATAGTCGTTTGGATAGGTCTTAGGTTGAGTTGGATTGGGTTGGGTTATTAGAGGGTGTAAAGGGAATAAGTGGAGGTGGAGGTGGAGGTGGGAGTAGGGGTAGATGGTTTTGGCATATCAGTTTTAGATAGAGAGTTGAGTATAGAGAATAGAGAGAGGGTATATAGAAAAGAGGAGGGCTTGTAGATGGATGGATAAACTTAGAGTGTATATTGTATGTATGTATATTGTTGCGATGATGATTATATAATGAATATATATAATATATACTCGAGTATTTCCTTGTATATTCTCTTTTGTTTATTCTTTATTTTTGAATTAATACTTATAGTATTCAAATCCCTATAATTTTGTATTTGTATTTGTATTTGTATTCTTTATTTCAAGTTATATATTCTTTTATTTGTATAGTACTGTATTCTTTTAGTTGTTCTTTATTATTGGTAATATATTATAAATATAAATATAAATTATAAAATTAAATTAAAATTAAATTAAATTAAAAAGAATAGAGAAGATTAGATTACATTGGGCTAGAATATATTGAACTGGAATTTATACTCGAAAGTATCTATATAAACTAGTAAAGTAGTAAACTAGTACGCTAGAGAGATAGAAAGAGAGAAAGAGAGAGAGAGAAAGATAAATAGAATAGATAGATGTATTTGATATAAGAGAGCCTGAGGTCTAGTCTGGAAAAGAGGTTAATGGTTCATGGATCACCCACCCAGGTTGATGGATAATTAATGAATTAAAAGATTAGTATTTGAAACTTGAAACTTGAAACTTAAGGGAAAGGGAAAGAGAAAGAGAAAGAGAAAGAGAAAGAGAAAGAGAAAGGTAGATATTAGTAGAAGTGATATTATAATATCATATAGAGTTGAAGAAATTGTAATTGAATTTACTCATGTATTTCTTTTCTTTATATCTTTTACTATAGAATTCATATTTTATTACTCTACTCGTAATCTTATATGAGTAATTATACAAATCTGGAGAATGACAATGAAAATATTAATATAGATATACTCGTAGAGTATATATGTATATATCTATCTATCTATATATATATGAAACACAGAGGTATATTGACTTCATGTTAGATTACTAACTAGCTATGCCACAGTATTGAGTATATACGCGCTATTCTGATATCCAGAAGAACTAATCGTCAAGTATATTCGCTCTCTCTGAACTTAAATAATCGATATAAGAAAGAATAAAAGGAAAATAGAAACCGCAACTCCACACATTCGCTCCACTCCCTTGAAAACCGCCCTGTAACACCTTTCCGCATTCCTAAATATGTATCACATAAACCCTAACTCCTCCCGCTTCAAAAAGTAACACGCCGCCCATAGGCATCTCTCTGTAATGCTTTGGTATCTTTACCGATGATCGAAATATTCAATGAGAAAAAACCGTAACTCCGCCCGCTCGCTCCGTCAAAACCACACTTATAAGCACCTCTCCCAATTCCGTGGGGTACCTGAAGATAAGATGCAGCACCGCCTGATCCCAAAATCACACTTCCGCCAGAAGCCATATACATCAGACTCTTTTTCGCAACTCTTCTACCTCCTTTCTCAAAGCGTCTCTCTCCAACTTGACGACTTCATGCTCGAGTCTCAAAACCTTGTCCTTCAATCCTGTAACTTCCATCTGCAGTCCTGTAGCCTCGTTCTTGGTTCCCGCAACTTCACGCTTCAATGCTGCAATTTCGTCTTTTTGCTCTCTGACTGATTCTCTCAGGCTTTCAACGCTATTGATCAATCCTGTAACTTGATCTGTGTGTGCTGAAGTTTCGTTCTTCAGTGATGCAATGTCATTTTGAACCTTGCCAATCGTATTGTCACGGGCGCCCAGCTCTTCAAAAATATTTACTGGGGCTTCTCCTTCTGCTGAAAGAGTAACTGATTTTGCATCTGCACGGTTGACATGAGTAGGTGCCGGGCTCAATGAGTGCTCGCCATTTGCATTGTGAGCAGCCTCCTCTTCCCAACGAGAAAAATGAATAGGAGAACCAAGGGGACGGAGCTCTCTAGACATCAGAACTTCGTTATTGTCCTCATCTGTATAGCTGAGATATCTCCTAATGGATGGAGTGTTCATAGCATATATGGGCGTCGGGGATGGCTGTCTTTGTCTTCGAGCACCTCCCAAACTAGCAGATGCCCTCGGCTGTGGCGACGCGCCATAGTAGTCTTGGTCATAGTCGTATGCGTTAAATGGATGACTATGAATGTCCGGCTTGACATCTTCTTCGACAGTCGCATTCGCAACGCTCTCCGGCAGGGTTATTCTGCTATCTTTGCTAACCTGCATTCTTGTAATACCAGGAATTGATGAACCACCGAGTTGAATTTGTTGTGAAGCTACATCATTCTCCTGATAAGAGCCACCTGCATGTCGCTTCGCCGGTGGTGGACCATCTTCTTCGTCAATTGAACGCTTTTTGCTACAAGCCTCGGCGTTTGGAAAGCTATCTTTTGATGTGGTGTTCATAACTACTTCGAAAAACTCTCTCTTAAAGTAGGGCTCCGTCTTTTGTAATCCTTCTAGTCGATCATAAGAACTATAGATGGTAGCTTCTCGGTGGACTCTTTCTTCAGGCTGATATTCAGGGAGAGGAGAGCGTGGCCGATACTCGGGACTTACACCCTCCTGGGGCTGATGACCAGGAGAAGGAGAACGCGGCGGGTACTCAGAATTTACTCTCTCCTGAGGCCGGTACTCAGGAGAAGAAGTACGGTACTCGGGACTTACTCTCGCCATAGATAAATTGAGACGATGTGCAGGTGAGAAGAAATTTGAAGGCCGATCTTCGCTCTCTCGTCGAGAAATACTTAGAAGTGGCGAGTGTGGCAACTGGGTAGTATGAGCATCAACTGTACGATGCACATAAGACGATTGAAACTTACATCTGGTATATAGGGATTGTTCAGGTTATCTTCAGAGGAATATCTATACTGAAGGGGCGGGGTAGATCTAGAAAGGCTGCTATTTATTGAATTCATTTTCTTACTGCTGTTGGGAAGCCTTTGATGGTCCTAAGTCGGAGCTGTTGCCCTGGAGGTAAAATTTTCACGCCAAGTGCACTCAACGTCACTGATCTACAGACAAGTTAGCTTGGCGGTACTAGAACATAATGGAGATAATACCTTGGAACACGCTGAAGGTAAAATGCCTCGCAGTCGTTGCTACCGATTGATGAAATAGAATTGTCTTCCCGATGTAGAAGGAAGACATGAGTTTCAAGTTCGACAAGTTTGGAGTATTTAATACTTGCCGATGTTTTATAATAAGTAAGGAGTGTCGAAGTGGAAAGCTGTTACTTAGATGGGGAGGTTTGGAATGGTTGAAGTATCTAAGATGTTGCGGTGCTTGTAGAAGAGGATTATTTTTCAGAATATCCAAAAACCGATATCGGTCACCAGTACTAGCGCAAAAACTCCCAAATTCACCTGTTTTTCTTAATCGAAGTTAAAAAAATTGATAAATCAAATGAGTGGATTGATCAGAGTGTAGAGTTTCGTATGAAAATGTAAGTGCTCGATTATGTTGATAATTTATCTGTGAATTTGTTGAAAGTAGTTGTAATTTTTAAGGAATCTGGGAACGAGATGGGCGTTTATATAGAAAGATGTTGATGAAAATACGGCCACTAGACACTAGCGTTACCAGTTGGCTATTGGTTGTTGGCCGTGGCATGAATCATTCATTACAATACGGAGGTGAGCTCCTATACGGTTCAGCTTTCTCGTCCTCTTGGGTACGCACTTCATGGGAAAGGATCCTAGACACAAGGTATATCGCAGGTATGCCGAATCTTATATTTCTAACCATCTTACAAAGGCGAAAGGTCAGGCAGGATATTGGTTTATGTTTATTCGTCTCGCCATATCAATGATCATAGAGGTGGTGTAGGATTCACGCAGGTTTTCAGATTATCCAGACTGCAATCCAAGTTATTCAACAAACAATAGTATCCTAGCTTATTATCCAATTCATTGATCTAACAGTGATAGCAAGAAAGTGATCAGCATGACATAAATTTGATCTGATAGTGCCAATTGATTTAATTTTCAACATCATCCCTTTCCTCCCTTCCACTTCCATTTTTACTTCACTACACTTTCCTCTTCCTCCCCCCTCCTCTTTACTTCATCCCTCTCAGAAAACTCTTAATAATAAATTACTTACTAATAAACTAATTTTTTTTGATTGATTTATTGATAATATTGATTGTTGACAAGTTATTTTATCAGCTAGCTAACTGATTGGCTACTCTGCTCTTAACAAGCACACAAAATGTGATAGACACAAACACAATCACATGGTCTATTGAATATCACACTGCAAACATCATCGATTCCTACAAGCTTCCTCATCGACCTACACACATCTCCAACGGTATACTCTTCACAACCCCTATTGAACATCACACCACAAATATCATTAATTTCTACATCCTTCTTTATCAATCTACACACAACCCCAACAGCCTACTAACTCTTCACACCATCATGATATTCCTCCCTATCACCCCATATGCACATCCTCCACCTACGAATACCTCAGCAAATCAAAAACCCGAATCTCCCTCCCACCCCCAACCCAAACACCTTCTCCAATCTCTCCCCGTAAAATCCTTCGCCACAACCTCCACACTCTTCACTCTCCACATCAAACCTCCACCCCAACTCCAACATTCTCCCCTCCCTATTGTATTTTCCCAAATAAGCATAGCATAGCATAGCATAGCCAAACCAAACCAAAGCCCAAGACCAGTGACCACCAACTGTAGCATACCGGTATCCCAGCACCAAAATCTTCAGGATCAAATGTACTGTATACAGAACCTCTTTTACCAGATTGAGATCTTTGACAGTGGCGAGTTGGATCAATGTGAGGAGCCGTGGGCTGGAGTTGCGGAGAGGGTTGCAGTGGTAGGGTAGCCGAGTCCTATTTGCCTGCATTCTTCGGTTGTGATGCAGGGAGGGAGGGGCATATATCTACAATTTAATTTTGTGTTGGAACTTGGATGAGAGAAGATAATTGATGTGGGAAGTGTTGCGGGTGACGAGAGTGAAGTCGTATTGGAAGGGGAGACTTTTTTCGAATTCTGAGACGCAGAGATAGAGATGGTTTGTGATTTCTTGGTTGGTTGTGTTTGTATCCTCGGTTTTATTAGGCGTGGATTCAGAGTAGGGAGACATCATTCACTTTGTAAAATGGTTGTGTTATTAGATTTGTTGTGTGTGAGTTTTTGACGTGGAAATGTGATGAAGTGGTTGGTGATGATGTTGAATGAAGACGAAAGAGTTACTTTAAGATTCTAGAAGGCCTTTTATATGAAAAGAAAAAACTTATGTGAAGGAAATGATATAATTTAATTCACAGAATACCGTACTATGTTCGACTAGAATATGATACTGTAATCCAATTCAACATAGGAGAATAGAATCACTGACACTACTTGACGTCAGAAGACACAACCGCAGAATCATTCTTTGTGTGCGCCAAAACATTCACACAAGCTTTAATCAGAGTGAAAATACTTCTCATCAATTCCTATTGGTGATAATTCGTTGTGGCCATGTACTCGTAATGCAATTACATATATGGTTCTCAGTACTCATAGTTCAAGATCCAAAGTCATGTAATTGAGCCCCATCTCTGTCTCTATCTCCATACCTAACTATCTTAAAACACTTTATGCGGGAAAAAAACTATTCAATTCACAGAGTACAGTGTTATCCCCGAAGTATAAGTTAGTCTTACAGTGATTCATAATGCTAGAATAGAATCGATTTCAGCCCTTAACCACGAAACGCAGGGTTTGCAACGGTGCATGCTTGACCAACAAGATACTACTCAGGAGGAATTAAAAACTTCATTATTCCTTATGAAATGCGATCACTGGCATATAACAGGTTACTAACTCATACTATTTCCAGAATATAATATCAAGCCTCAATCTCAGTTTAACCCATCTAGATCCTAAATTTCACAAGACCAATCCATATCACAATCTTCAGATATTGGAAACGAAATTTCGAAAAATTAGCCATATCATAAACAAGAGTCTTACCTTACCTCACACTCTCCTTCCACCAATCATCTCCGCCTCAACCACAATATCCGTGAACTTAAGCTTATTCTCCACTCACACAACCTCGTCAACCCCTCATCCGTGACCTTTCGAGAATTTCAGCAACTTTCCGCCCCTATCTATTCACCTATACAAAATGTCGAAAAGCCCACTTGAGAAAGAACAGCATTCCCCCAGAATCCCCTTCATGATACTACTCTTTGTCATGACAATTATTATCGTCTCCAAGCTCATAGCTACCATCGTCATCGTCCTCACATTCTTCCACCATGGACCATGGTAGATACCTCCGAGCTAAATCGGTTAATAGCGTCTTTCAAAAAAAATATTGGTCTTTGATTCCGCTCGCTACAAGGAGTGTTAACATATTTCGTGGCGGTGGTTTGAAGAAGTTACTGCAATACTTCAAGGGGAGTTCTCCGGACACTTTACATGGTCCTCCGACTGAGAAATAGTGCATATCGCACCGAATCATGGAGTTGTAATTGTCCGCGTTGCCAGTAACTAAAGGTGCAGTCGTAGCTATCAATATGGCGATTTTGGAATTCGTAATCGCAGACATAAGAAGTTCAAAGCAAGCGGCCAGATGCAAACGAGATGGTCATAGTGGAAGGCTAGAACAGAGACTTTGATATTCTTATTATGTGTATAATTATTCGGTCATTCGCTCGCTTATTTGCTCGCTTGGGGAAATTGGGTGATGCCAAGTAAAGATACATTGGTCTAATTCGAGATCTGAACGGCTTAAGTATGGCACGCAGAGCTTAAAAGTATGCCAAATGCTGAATGGAATCCATAACATCTTATAATTTGAGATTTATTGGAAGTCTGGTGAGTTTAGAGTGATACATGGTTGTGCTCTTGCTCTTGCTCACCCACTTTAAGTCTTTTCACAAAATCTCGCCATCTGACATACCGGAAATAAACCTCAAATGTTCTCCTTATTTATTCCCAGTCAATGAAATTTCAATAATTATGTCCAAGATAGGATGGGTGGAGCAGTTTGATTATTGATCAACTTTCCAGATATGCAACAAAAAGCCTAGGGAAATTGTCACCACTTTCTGGCAGTAGATACCGTGCTTAATTTTGGGGCAAAGGTATCGAGTACATAATGTCCGAAACTTCGGGATGAGAAGAATTGCATGTATGGATATATCTGAATGATTAGGGATATCGTCTGAAGCTTCAAAGTTTCGAGCTGGATCATAAGCGTGGCTGATAACTTTACTGTTAGTCCGTATGGATTTGACGGGCTTAAATTCTTGCTTTTGGTCTCCATTTAGCATACGGATGGTGCTCCTCTCCGTTTGGAATCAAGTGATCTACTGCTCTTGTATTCAGCATTCCAGGGTGAACTTGCGATATATCCGTAACACCCATCATCCTCATTGTTGTTTCCAATTCGTCTCTGAGAACTGTAAGTTGTTAGTATATCTACACATGGCGCAATAGACTTCAGAAATAAACCTTACTCTCGACATATTTCTCCACGCCCGACTGACCCCATCCAAGAGCAAACAGAAACCCCCTGCCAATTCCAACAGCCTTTGCACCCAGACACAATGCTTTGAAAATATCAGTCCCTCTCATAATCCCACCATCAACGAAAACTTCCATTCCATCAAAAACTTCTGGTGTATTCTTCTGCAACTCTAACAAAACCAGTATTGAAGCTGGACTTGTATCCAGACTTCTACCACCATGGTTACTAATTAAAATACCATCCACTCCATGGTCGAGCGCCATCTTCGCATCTAGCGAGGTTTGTATGCCCTTTAACAAAATAGGAAGCTTCGTACATCTTCGTAGCCAGGCGATATCGCCCCAAGAAAGTGTAGCATCAATATAGGCACCCATTATTCTTCCCAATGCACCGCCTTTCTTATCGTTCTTAGCTTTTGCACCACTCATCGGAGTAGACATGCTCTCATCTGCCTTTACTCTTTCATCTGCTTCTCGCTTTCCCGGGACCGGAGCATCGACTGTCACAAATATTGCCTTGACACCAAGAGCTTCAACACTTTTCAGAAGGTTTTCGGATTTGTGCCTCTGCTTATCAACGTAAAGTTGGAAAAATATGGGGAGCTGCTTTCCCGCGCCTGAAGTTTGCGAACGATCATCAGAAATAGCCTCAAATATTTCCGCGATTGGAAAGCTTGCATTTGTGCTGACTGTCATTGCCAATCCCGCAGATTTCAGCCCGCGAGCCAACTCTCGTTCTCCTTGTGAATGTACCATCTTTGCCATTGCTGCTGGTGAGCAGAATATTGGCACATCCAATTCGTGACCAAGCATTGAAGTCCTTGTACTGACGTGTTTCACATTTATCAGTATCCTAGGTCGAAGGCCAATGTTCGCATATGCCGAAGTATTTCTGCCTTTTGTTATAAGGTCCGTAGCGGCGGAGGAATAAAATGCCCACGTTTTGGGCGTAAGGAAATATTCCGCCGCTGATACGAAATCGTAAGTATTTATTAGATTATCAAGAGAGGGCTTAAAACCCGGCGCAAGAGTCTTCAATATTTCAGGTGGAGGCTTGATCCATTCGTCTGATATGGAAGAGAGATCAACTGTCCCCATCACTTTCGAGGCTGAAAGCGAAGAGGATATCAAAGAGGGTGCATGTATTTCGGAGTAGGCTTTGGAAGCATCGCGGCCGGCATATTTCAGAATTACTGGATGAAGGAATCAGTGGACGAGAACGAACAGGAACAAAGGACATACTGCTAGCACCTCCAGGGTGTTCAGGTGCAAAATCTGTTACATCGTAAACTGTATCATCTACCACTATCCACACGTTTGAAGGAAGATTGTGCTGCGAAATCTCCTTCACAGATATACTACGCGACATGGTGAAATTCAATGATGGGACTCTTTTTATCACATGAATTAGCCTTTATGGAGGTAATAGCCAAAGGATATCGAAAGGTTAAATAACTGAATTGAAATGCTTATCTAGCTCGCTGAAATCAATGGAATTCGGAATTGTTGCCGTCCTCTATTGAGGTTGCGGTGATGGAAGGGTCGCAAAGCTCGTGGTAATTGAGACCGAGCTTGGCAGCATGACTAATAGGTCAATTATTGTCCAGACATTGCCTTTGACCAATGAAAAGATGGAGAGACACAATACATGTATGTACTCTTTAATTCTGTCATTTACATTCTATATAATGTATAATATTATAGTCTTTAGGTTGAAGAATTCATAGTTTCGATTTCTCTGCAATCATACTTGCAGAGTTCGGGAGACTCACGATGCTGTCCCTGTCAATCTGATCCACACTTTGGTATCCAGATACGTTCATTAAGATATCAAAGTCGGCCAAGAGGGACTTCATGACATGTCGCACTCCTAACTCGCCCTTGATACTGAGCCCCCAAACCCATAACCTTCCAACGAAGACAAATTTAGCCCCTAGAGCTAGGGCTTTGAACACATCGGCTGCCCCGCGAATACCAGAGTCAAACATAATGTATGTCTTGTCACCAACAGCTAGAGCAGGGTTAGCATTATGATTTATCAAAGCGAGTATTGAAGATAGGGCCTGGGTCAATGCCGACTATTGCACATACCATCGACGATTTTCTCTAACGCATCTAAGCTTGCACAAGCTCCGTCAACCTGTCGTCCAGCGTGGTTGGAAACGACAATACCATCAACGCCAAGCTCTACAGCTTTCTTTGCATCTCCAACATGCTGAATACCCTTCAAGCAAAAGGGTTTGCCTCCACTGATTTTCTTCCACTGTTCCATCAGCCAAGGCATTTTTTCCCATGACCAGGCACGTCCATGCCAAACATTATCAACCCACATCGCTCCAGCCTCATTTGGCTGCTTTTTTGGATCGATACCAGCATCCTTCATCCGTTTCTGGAAGACGGGATCAGACAATCCCAGATCAGCTCCAACACCATGATAGAAAGCATAGTTCGAAGTTGCAGCATCACGATGTCGCCAACCCAACTGCCATGTATCTACTGTCAAGATACAGGCTGTGAATCCACTATCATGTGCTCTCTGCAACAAGCTCAGCGTTAATTCATCATCATGCGGCATGTATAGTTGGAAAAATCGAGGCCCGGCACCATTTGCAGCTCCCACGTCCTCGATTGAAGTCGATCCTGCGGTGGATAAACAATACGGCAAGTTCAATTCTTTAGCTACCTTAGCTACTGGTAACTCAGCCAGAGGGTTATAAATCTTGTTGATGCCGATAGGTGCGAATCCAATGGGTGCGCTGACCTTGTAGCCGAAAATCTCCGTCTTCGTATCACGATTGTTGGTATCAACGAGCATTCGAGGGACAATTCTGTGCCGGTAGAAGGCTTGTCGATTCGCTAGATGTGTGTACGATAGGCCTGCATTGCAGGAAGCATAGTACCTATCGACGGCTGTTATTATGAAGATTTGCAGACATCGGAAAGCTTGACATACCATCCACCTTTTGTTAATGATTCCTTTGCCAAGTCTTCCAGATCTCCTGGGTCTGTGCTAAATGGAGGGGTTTCCCCAGTATTATCTTTCCAGAACATCTCTCTTTGATAGAGTGCCCATTGTGGAGTATTTCTACTCTGAATATTGGGGTTTTTGGGATCGGACATGATGAATAGGAGATGTGAGAACTCAATTGTAGCAGAATACACAGCAATTGAAAGAAATGTACAATTGAATCAAGAGGAGCTTGATCAGGATGGAAACTTGATACTTAACTTGAAAATACTAGCTCATTGCACTGTCGTTTTTAACAATCAATGATCTCATTGTCTTCGGCATGAAATTCCGCACTTCAGACGGATCTGTTGATCCCAAAATAAGATGACAAATTATCATAATCACGTGATGCTCCGATGAAATTTGTGGCTTGAGTGTTGCTCTGCTCTCCCCCTCCGAGGTGAGAGCTGGGCTACATCACGAACATCAGTCATACACACTATGGAGTTTCAAGCTATACATTGATGATTCATTTCATCGTAAATCCATACACCATCTATTCCTTTGATCGGTTCATCTGAATGGTCTCATGCCTCGACTCTCCCATGCTCTCCTATTCAGAGCTTACAATATCTCGCCTTTATTACCATTAATTCTCCGAGAAACACGAACACTCTCATCTGCTATCAATGAGTTACGATGGCTACGCGAACACGTCGATAGCACGACAAGCCTTCATGCTCTTAACCAAAAGTGGAGGTCTTTGCTAAAACTATGTCAAAGACGTGCCAGAGGGGAACCACTGCAATACATACTTGGCACCCAGCCTTTTGGGGAATTGGAAATCAAATGCAAGCCTGGAGTACTTATACCTAGGTAAGTTTGATAACATGCCTCTTCTCCAGCCTATATCTAACGACCCCGAGACCAGAAACAGAGGCATATACAACACATTTGGCAGAACTTCTTGTCAAAGCTAGGCCTTTTTTCTATGAAGAGTGCAAAAGTCAGCAGAACTCACTGAAGATCATAGACTTTTGTTCAGGAACTGGTTGCATTTCCCTGCTTTTATACTCTCTTCTGACTAAAGTATACCCCAAGCTTGAGATCGTTGGTCTAGATATCTCCAGCAAAGCGCTTAATTTATCAAACCGAAACGTCCATTTTAATGCTCTCAAAGCTTCTGCACAGCAAAGTGTCAGTTTTGAATTCGCTAATGTACTTGGGGATGAGCAAACGATCCTAGACAAATGTAGAGGCGTCTGCGATGTAATCATATCTAATCCTCCATATATATCAGAAGAAGGATTCAACAAAGAAACGACACGATCAGTGCGAAATTGGGAACCAAGACTTGCACTGGTCCCAAATGCATCGAAGCTAGGTACCATATGTTCAAATGACAATATTGAGAATGTCCCTAAAGTGAAAGCTGAGGACATTTTCTATCATCGATTGCTCCATTTATATCTCCTGTTGAAGTCGAAAATTCTTGTGATGGAAGTAGGAGATGAGGCCCAAGCAAGGAGAGTTGTTGAAATGGCAACGCGCTCTCCAGATAGGATTGAGATATGGAGAGATTGGCCAGATCAACACGAATCTGAAAACGGAAGAGCAAAGTACATGGTCATTGACGATCACGAAGTAGTGATCAAAGGGTCCGGTATGATTAGAGCTGTTGTCTTGTTTTCCAATCACCACTTTTGAGTCGTAGAAATTCGGTGGTTCCGTTGCTTTAAATCTCATCATCATATCAGGGAATTGGCATCTGACGAGTCAAATTTCAGCATTGGTAGTAAACATCAAAGACATTCCAGAAGCATTCTAAAAGTTCTTTGGGTTCTTGAAACGATATAAATTCCTATTGAGCACCCTTTTTGCATTAGTCTACTTCCCCATGTCAGAATTTTCAAGACTTCTAGAAGAAAAGCTAGAAAAGACTCGAGACAGGACATCCACAGCGCCTCTGTATTGCGCATTTTGCGCATACACGTGCAACAATCCTAAAACGCAATAATGCGAATTTCTTGAGATAATGAGACAAACCTCACTCAAGTGGTTGCCGCGACTGTGATCAAGAAGTCTTACACTAGGATATCTCGTGTTTTTGTTAACTTATAGTCAAACTTTACACAGTCCGAACTTGGCATGTTTGTATCGCATTTCAATTCGAATCTGCCACGAGGATTCTTTCAATGGCCCCCTATAATACAAGATAAAGACTCTCGCCCAACCGTTCTATCATATATTTCGTTTCTCCCATCATCCTGATCCAATGTTTCTTCCCAAAGGTTTACCTCTAGAGGCACCCCTTGTTCCAGTTGATTCTCTGCCAATCCGCCTTTTAAGTACCATAATTCATAATGTACACTCAATTCCTCCTCGTACTTCTCCAATTTTTCCGCGGTGTTACCTCTCGGCCTAATACAGTAGGAAAAGGCTACAGGCCAGCTGCCTTTCAAGGTTCCACCAATCCTGACACTGTTGACACTTTCTTTACGTTAACTGCTGGCACCACTCGTCGAAAGCGTGATCTCTCAGGTGTAGCTCCAGCCAATCCACTCCAGAAGGTGAGAACATACCAATCGGCGGAAATTCGTCATTTCTGACGTTCGTAGGGACATGATTGGTACACGAATCTAAAGGTAGAAGGACAAACATATCCTGTTGTCATTGACACGGGAAGCAGCGACACATGGCTTGTCAAACCCAACTTAACATGTCTAGATTTTGGCACAAGATTACCAACTTCACAGAGTGCATGTCTCTTCGGTCCAGGGTATGCTTCCGGTTTAGACTTCACGCCCATTTCAGACAAACACTTCAACACTACATATGCAAGTGGTGAGAATCTAAAAGGAACATATGGGTTTGTGGACGTAACTTTGGGTGGTATCTCGTAATTTCTCTGATCATCGTCCTAATTCAGTAACTTATCCAACGTTCAACAGCGTCAATACTCAAATTGCGACTGTCGACACAGCTGCCTGGCTTGGTGATGGCACCACGAGTGGTTTATTGGGACTTGCATATCCTTCTATGTAAGCAGCTCCTCCTCCTAGGCACGAACTCTCTGACATTGTTATAGCACCGCGGCGTTCAATGGCACCACTTTCGACAACGACAATGCAGAAACTCAACGTAAGTTAATATGCCATTCTCACTTCTGCGCGTACTGATGACATGCAGTCCCATATAACCCGATCTTTACGACCATGTACACACATCATCTCATTTCCCCGATCTTCAGTCTCGCGTTGAGCAGGCCATCAAATGGTATCGGCCACGACAATGGATATCTAGCTTTAGGTGGCCTTCCTCCCATCGCATCTTATGGCGCTTGGGGTGTAGCTCCAATACAATACGTTGCAATTGGAAAGGGTTATCTACAAGGAGCTCTCCCCTGGCCACAACATCGTTCGTCCCTACAAGCTCCAAACATCTACTAACCATCTACTAACCTCTTCACAGAAGTCTACACCCTCACCCCAGACAACTTCCTCTACCCCGGCAGCCAACGCCAGAAGTGGAATCCCAAACACTGGTCCCCTCTCTCTATGCCCGGCAGCAGTTCCCAAGTCCAGCTCTTCATCGACTCGGGCACGACTCTCATCTTCCTCCCTAATTCCATCTCCTCCGCTCTCGCAGCACTCTATAATCCACCCGCAGTATATAATCAAGGTCTGCTCGCCTACTCCGTGCCCTGTAATGCGAGAGCTCCGTATTTTGCAGTCGTCATTGGCGGCGTGCCACTTCCGATTGACTCCAGAGATATGGTACAAGATGACGGGACGGGTACCGGAGGGTGTGTCGCGGGTGTGAGTGATGGGGATCCGTTTGCTTTTTATACGCTTGGAGATGTGTTTTTGAAGAATACCGTGGTGGTTTTTGATGTTGGGGCTTCGCAGTTGAAGTTTAGGAGCAGGGGTTTCTATTGATTATGTATTGTCTGGTAGTCTTTTGATTAATGCTATGCAATGGTATTCACTCAAGCTTTGTCGCGCAGATTGTCTTTCCGTTGGGTTTTGTGGATGAGGGAGAGTTTTCTTGTGCATGTATTCTGTATCAAAAGCTACTGCAGTTTCTCGGCTATGATTTAATGTTACTGTCAGTTGTTATAGCTTACCTGTTTTTCTTTCCAATTGGTCGTGAACAATGAGGAAGCAAGTTTCATTGAGTGTCCTGTCTTACAAAGGTAGACACAAAAACACTCTTGAAACATTAATGCTGTGCTATCCAAATCTCACATCTCAAGCAGCATGTTGTGTTCAAGTAGATGCATTATCAACTCTCTGTGTTATGGCTATAGATTATCTTATTTAGTACTGACCATCGACCAAGTAATAGAAGCAGTCAAGTGTTGCTCGTGCCGATCGCTGTGGTCCGTTCTTGACGGACGAGTGACAGTCCAAGAATATTGTTAGATTCTTGTCTGAATTTTTTGGATGTTATAGTACTTGTCTGATGTCTTTCTCACCTACTTCATCTTACTGGTCAGCGGCATTTTGGTTGCACCTCTGCAAAAGGCCTAATGACTTTCATCTAAAGTAATGAGAGTAGTAAATGCTAGATATTAGATAGTCAGCAGAGAAATCCGGGAATCAACTATCTGGTCGTTTCTGCCATATTGTACCGTGTCTCGTCCTGCCTGCCACAACTTTTGTAGGGCACTGCCTGCTTATTTGATTAAGATGTTTCTTGGTCTCGTCTCCTATTACTCTTGAATGTTGAGTAAAGACGAGCCATCAGTCTATGTAGTCCTCCATTCCAGTGAGAGTAGTTCCTGCGGGGATTCGTTGCTCTTCAGAAGGTAGTGTGCTTTCGGGAGTTTTCTGGACTCGTTTGTTATATGATTACTCATGCACAATGCAATCAACTCTCTCTTGCATATACTTATAGAACCCGACTGGATCTAAGCTTTGTTTTGGTAGTAAAAATGGATGAATTGGCGCGGCGCATATTGGAGAGTCAAAGAGAGAGAATGAAGTCCAAAGAAAGGGGGATATGAATGACTCGGTAACATCACAATCTTTTCCTATCGCTTGATTGTCCCAAGGAGAGTTCCCTGATTGACTGTCCCAATTCGTTCTTCATGTTTGAACCCAGACCTATTGAAAACGCCACAGTATTCACTGGATAAGTGTCCAAAATACAATCAAGGTATGCACTTCTCGACGTTAAGATCATAGCTCTCGAGGCTCCACATATGAAGAGCTTACCTCAGAGCGGAACGGGACGTTCACACAAGGTTGTGGTGGCATCCTCAGGAATGCATGATCATTGAGGAGTCATCTGATATGATTATTTCAGTAATCATAATCACGTAAACCAGTTCTCATCGTCGATGCAATCAATACTCATAGACGGCGTTTTGGACTTACTATACATACTCGGAGTCTCGAAGGAGACCACTTGGTGCCGATCCTTTTTATCTGTTGCGCAATCGCTTGCCCTGACCCGCTCGCTGTCAATGCGAAGATCATTCTCTTGCCCTGACCCGCTCGCTGTCAATTCGAAGATCATTCCCTTCTCAGCCATTTGAAACCCCGGGAATTCGTCGATCATTATGAAGAAGTTCCTCTTTCCCCCTGCCTCTAGCAATAAACAGGAGTCTACGATCAACAAGATTGTAGTCAAGAAACAAGCAGCGCTCTGCCGTCGCCAGTCCCACATCCATGATAATAAGAGCATTTCGCTGATCATAGTTCATATCTACTATGACGGCTCTCGGACCGTGATGCACAACATCACAATATCAGACCATATATTTCATTATACATACGGAACAGGGTTTTGTTGTTGGTTAATCTGATCTTCTGAATAGGGTGCTGGTATTATCATTTCTATCTAGGGGCTCCAGCTGTGTCCACTTTCATCTTGTAAACCTGGACTCGTCAATAATCTCGCTATGTATTTCGCGTTTACTTGCTACTTTAAGATTTTCAGTTGCATCGAAAACCCATGGACAAATCCATTTTCACTTCACTGTTTTCTTCAATTCAATCGCCAACAAATTCCATACGATGCATAACCCTAAATACAACCTCACTGCACCTAATTGCACCTCACACCCATGAGTCAGTTATTCAGCTGAGAAGTGGTTCAATGGAGTCGTGATATCAGGTCACGATTGAGGCTGTGTTGTATTATTGTATATCGAAAATTCAAATTCAATAGTCCAATTCAGTTACTCTAGCTTGGCGAAGCAGACATGGCATGGTTTTGTTATCTGCATTACAGTTGGCAGTAAGAAGTTGGGGGCAAAATGCGGGGGAAAGGACGTATGGGGAGATGGCTAAGAAGAGTTGATGAGCTGGCTGATAAAATACTGTTTGTTACACGAAAACGAGAATTTGGTATGTCGGTGACAGATGTGTACAGTAATGTTTGCGGAGAGCTGTGTTGGGATGAAGATTGGTTGGTTAGAAGCACCTAGCATCTGTACGTATTTAGTCTCCAGCTGTACTTGCAAAGAACCCATGAAATGACCTGAACTCGGTCGGAAGCAAAGATAACTAGATCCGTTGAAGCTCACAGGGACGACGAGAAATATTTAGGCTGCAACATTTCTTGATTGTTGAGCGATGATTGCAACTTTGCAAAATTTCAGTGTACAGTACGTGCAAATCAATGGTGAGATAAGACTCTAGAAAGCGCTTGAAGGATTCTTCCTCTGCGACTTCGGAAAGAGTTTTGCGTTTGAGGGCGCGCGTAAATATAGTAGGATTGTGGGAAACACTGGAGAACATATCGGCCTAGGTAGTAAGTGATTTGCATCATTTTTGATACGAGAATGGCTTGCTTGGGACAGGTAGAGGAAGAAGATGTTGTCAAAGGAGGGGGGGAAGAACCCTAGGAACCTATATTGAATTGAGACCCAGTCGAATGGGAAACGGATGCTTACTTCCGCCGTTCATTTTGCTTTTGCGCTGATATAATAAGGTTTCCAATTGTTTGATTATTGTATGTACCGAACGGATATTTCGGGCGCCTCGGCTACCCCTTCATTCTCGTCAAAATAATATGGGTCAAAATCCATGTGTGTGGGGTGGGTGTTTGTGAAGAAAATGTGATAGACATGCTTGCTAGATGCAGTCATCCGCATTTCTGGATTATAACAAATCACAAGACTTTTTTATTTCAGTGTTTGATATTCATCGAGTCGAGACTGAAAAATCAGTAGTTGAATTGGTGGTCGGCATATGGCGGCTGTCCGAAAGGAGAATGTTGTGCAGCATTTCTTCGAATATGTGGCTTAAAATAATATAGGTATAGAGACATGTATGTACTGTGCCCTTTTCGAAATATGTACTTTCCCGTGTATTAAAACAACCCTTGTAAGAACCACATTTCAGTTCGCTGTATTTCGAGATCCCCCACAACTCAAGAAGTTCGCGCTTGGGTGTAGATAGACTCGTAAATACCAGGTCTGGCCTACCACGGTAGTGTAATTCAATCTGTTGTACTTCCACGCGCTCCTCGTAACTGACAGATTGGCTGCCTCGTTGTCACACCTTTTGATTCAAATCCTCGTTTTTCCTACCTGCAAGACCGTCGAGGACTGCATTAAATCTGCAGGTAAAACCATATCACTCTCCAAAAATCATAATATCGGTCCTTCTGTCCCGGAGTTGTTTGACCAAGCATTTGATTTTTCGGCATTTAGGATTTCTTGGAGATGAAATACTTAGCTGAGACATTTCGATATAGTTCATCGGATTAATTGGATGATATCCTTGAACTGAGCTGGAAGTTCCTCTTGTCTAAGGTCCGGGGTAGCAATCCCTCCGTGCCACCCTTGATGAGATGATTATGACGGAGTGCCCGATGAAGGAATAAGGAAGGGGATAGACGATATAATTGCAGAAAATACTCCAAGTTCAAAAGTAGCAGAACAATAGCCAAATAGCCTATATACATGTGATGATCTACTGTACTACGAGAGGCATTTCGAGAATCCAACCATGAATGTCAGGCACACGTTTTCTCCAGGTTCCAGAAGGCTTCCACAGCATTACAATGAAGCATTGCATTTGCATACAACGTCCAAACTACTACTCGGTTTTTGATGACAAGCTACGGGACGGGAAGCCTTCTGTGTTGCACTATGGGATAAGGCTGGTGGATAAGGCTACTGTTTTGAGCATATTTAGATCTCTCAAACAATTGTTGAAGAATAAAAATGTTCCATTAGGCTTCAGGTAAAATTTCCGGGGGCGATGAATGTCGTCGGAGGCTTAATTTGAAGCGTCAATAATAGCTGAAGACGCTAATACTTGGCGTTGTCTTGGTAATTGAACGGCTCTTGATTCGAGCGTCTATCAGAATTAATGACAGCCATCGAAAATTCTAATTTATTTCTTTCAATTTATACTTTAATTTGAGGTTTTGAAGCTTTCCATGGCCAATTACTGTATGTACCCAAGAGCGTTTAGACGAATCAAACTTAGAAAGAATCCGATAAACCTCTAGACCTTAGACATTTAGAAAGGATTGATGAAGATTGGCAAACTGTAAACAAAAGCATATGCTACTTGACTTATCATGGCTACTCCCCGGGTAATGATACTGTGCTTAGATGCCTAGGTATCGAACATTTTCGGAGATACGTCCTCGACAACTATTATGTACCGATAACTACGATCTGGAATCCGCTTTAAAAATACATTGAACAGTATTTGAACATGCCACAATGCATTTAAGATCCTGGTGAACCTCTACATCCTTGTAGTCAGTGGGTAGATGTCTAACTTAGGCTTAGATATTGTTTAACCCCCTTCATCTTCCGTAGCCCCACAAGCCCATTCACACATTGGTCGACGGGAGTACCAAACTCGATTCAGATCCAGAGCTGCACGATAGTGCAGTACTATGTCTAGCACATCTTTGATATCAGATAACAGTCAGTGAGAAACCTATCGTGGATTATTCAGACAATCTTGTTACTTCAGCTTGATCAGGATATTTTTCCGGATATGTAGTAATACATTATCATCCTTCAATCTTGCTACACCTCGCACCGTCAGATTTTATCGCCGGGTTCGTATTCACATCCGCCGCCGCAGCAAGCGAAATCTCACGCAAAAGCATAAGAAATACTTCCAGTCTTGGAATTATTTCAAAACACTCCCAGGATCATTTCAAATCTACTCGTCGAATTATAATTCTTTTGGGCTATATTCTCCTCATCTCCGCCATGGCTGATACACCTAGCTATTATTCGTCAGGGGATCATCAGGGGTCCTGTATCGTACCTTAGATCAAGCTATACTGGTTGGTGCTGAATAAGACCTGACAAGGCTCAATGCTGCGTTAGATATAGGTTGGAAATAATTTGAGAAAAATACAATATTACAAACGCGAAAAATGGAAAGGATTAGCAAACCAAAAAGATTAGACGAAATGATATCGGACAATATATAGGTACTTGGGGCGCTTGGGGGCCTGGGATACCTTTTTGATCGTAAGTGCTTGTGGGATGGTTGCCGGCCGGATTTATAGACAGGTCAGGGGCACCCCGTTGGTCAAGGCTATAAACCTCATGGGAGCTATGCTCGTTTTGGTATGCCTGTCAGCGGATTCAATCCTCTTTTGAGCGATGACCGTGAGGCCTCCCCTTGAACTATACATCGTTTACAAATTTATCCTTGCCCTTCAACGTCTTTTTCGATATTCCCTTTGAAGATCTCCAATTCGCCATGATTTTCGAATTTAGGCACTGAGGGATGGGACCATTCAACTCTCCCCAATAGGATCAATCTAGTTCTTATTCTCATACACTATCACTAATGTAGATCACGCGCCAGCCACTTCTACTTGTTCGAGATAGTATATGCCATGGGGTACTCATACTCATTACCCTTTCGAAGAGGGGAACGGAACAGAAATGGGGCCAAAGCAGTTATCCACTTGCCTACCTGACAAAAAATTCAGAACGACGTTAGACCCATCATGAGGCTTGCTTGCATCCCGCCCGCACCTAAGTCTCGTCCTTTGGCCCCTTTGGTAGACCATGTCCAGACTCACGAATAAGAGCTTAGCTCCCGAACCTGGCATAAGCTTGTGCTCCGGCCTTCATCTTCCTTTCAATCCCATCATGCTAAACACTCCTTGAAGAATCATTCTTATATGGATAAATGTTTAACTTTTAATCTTCAATCAACAATCAATCAATAATCAATCAAAAAGTCCTTTCACAAGAAGGATATGCTTCAATGTCCATAACACAGACAACAACGATGGCAGCCATAAAGCCAGAAGAGTCAGATCATTCCATTTGGCAAGGCTATGCTCTCCAACCACCTCATACCTCTTCTCATCAGACAACCTTTGAGTCGAATTTCCCGTCCGGTCCTTTGGCATTGCCATATCATGCAAGACAGAAGGGCGGATATCGATCAATGGATATCTCTTCAACCAACACAAGACCTCCCCTCAGGGATGAGCATGGGGTCTTGACTGCATCACCATCACCATTAAACTCTCATCATAGCTACCCTTCTCTCAAAAGACCATTTCATTCTACGGATGATTCACCATATGGCGAAGTAGTGCAGGATTTTCGAGAAGATTTATCAGAGCATCCCAAACCAAACATTAGTCAAGACCATAGACTACTTTCTTTCAGCAAACGGCCACCAAAGCATACTATCGTAGATCAACACGGAAGAATCCAGCAACTAGATCTCTCAGCGCAAATTCACGGAATGTTCTTTTTGTCGGAGATGACAACCCCCACGGGCGAGGGACTGATTGTTCAGCCGGAGTTGACCTGTTACCGGAGGAACCTATTCCAAATTTCCGGATCTGTCACCATACCCCGAAGCGCCTTGTCGGTAATTACAGAGCGCGGAGAACGTATTCCAATTCTATCCTTGGAAGTAACCATTAGTGCCACAGAATCAGTCGATGGCCATTCTGTGAAACTAATTGTGATCCCTTTGAAGACTCCTCCACCCAATTCACCGGAAGTAACTCCTGGCCAGGAGCAGGAGCCCTCGACTATTCCACTACTTCCGTTTGACGACGGAGCTCCTGATAGGAACAATGAGTTCGCTGTTTACCCAATAGCTTACCGAAGACTTCAATTCAGGATCGCAACCGCGAACAATGGTCGAAGACGAGAGCTTCAACAGCACTTTACCTTGCATTTGAATGTTGTAGTAACCTTAGGAAACAATACAAAGATCAATGTTTGCGAGACAGCGACAGCGCCGATTGTGGTCCGAGGTCGAAGTCCAAGAAACTTCCAGGCAAGGAAGGAAATTGCACTTGTCGGATCATCAGCTTCTCGAGGTCAGGCACCAGAAATGCAAGTCACAAGTAGCAGCACACCGGGCATTATCATCATGAAACCAAAATTGTCGAAACCGCAGACACTTGAATTACCTCGTTCGCCGTTCAACTTCGATGCAAACAATCTTCCCATATCCCCACATCTAATGAGACAACAGTGAGTTTTTCCTCTCGATATCATCTCTCTCACTCCAAATTTGACTCGACGTCGAACGACCTCGGTGATACTTTCAATTTTGTAACCTCCACGTTGATGGCAAGCTGACATGATCAAATTAGAACTTTACCATCATGGTTTGCTCCGCCAAATTCATCAGAGCATACCCCAGCACCATCAACTCCGAACTATCAAGGACCCCCGCCGTCATTGTCAATGGATAACTATCTTCAAGGGCATCATCCCAGTTCAGAGAATCCTCGAACTCACTCTCCGACTTCTACAATGCCAGCACCTGCACCTCCAGTACGTTCATACACGTATCAAAATACGACTTCACCCAGTGGTACTCCCATTCGATTCATAGACAGCAATCCGCGGCCCGCGAAATCACCTCGCCATCAAGCACCTCCCGAATCGAATTCATCTTTTTCTTCCGATTTCACAGCCCGGTTCACCGCTGCACAACCAAGAGAATACTTTCCAACATCTATGTCTATGCAACCATGGACTACTAGTCAGGATACTGCATCTACATATGGAACGACATTGCCCGCGGTTACTAGCTCCCATTACGAGTACTCGGGAGATCAACATTATGTGAAAGAAGAAGGCCATTCCCATCCACAGGCGCAACATCAACAGCCCAGTCAGCAGCATTACACTTGGAGCGCCGCATAGTTTTGTTAAAACGACAAAATTCAAAGCATAGCGACAATTCAGCATTTCAACAAGTACTCACTAGAATCCATTCATCAGATATATGATCTAGGGAATGATGACTTTTAGATCTTCAACGAAAGAGATTTTCTCTCTTTACACAGTACAAGTATTCTTTCTTTGTACTTTGGCGCCATATCGAATGTTTGTTTTGTATAATTCTACACTTGAGTCAGTATCCAAAGGGTTTAAGCCCCAGTTTCTTGTTATGCGGGTTCTTATTGGGTTGGAAGGAAACGAAGGAATGGATTAGGATGGAATGGGATACGTTATTGTATTTCACGGTAGGTTGTAACGTGAGCAAAGGGTATCATATATAGCAAGCGCTGGCGTAGGAAAAGAGCGGCGACCTCAATGTTTCTTTAGTCTACAGTATCCCCTTTCTCTTCAATATTTCTTAACAAAGCGGATGGATGGATGGATGAATTGGACGATATGGATGGAACGATGGATGTACTTATAAACACATATTACGATCAAACTTGATACCCTTTTTAATTCCTTAATATTCAGTAAAATACAAACAAAAAATATTGGGTTAATTTTAAGTTATTTATTATTTATTATGTTTTTTGGCTTTGTGATACATCACTTTTTGGGTGGGTGAAGTGAGTGAAGTGAGTGAAGTCAAAAGAAGATCGCGGGCCAGCCCGTTGCGCATTTGGTCATTCTTGGCCCCCGCACAGACTTAATCGCAACCACAAAAATATACTCGAGTACCTATTGAGAGCTTCAACGCAAAACTAAAATAACTTCTCAACGACATAGCTATCATGATGTTTGACCTTCCGGACGCAAAACGGTGAGTGTATTCGTCTGCCATAAGTGATTTGGCTACATCGTATATCTACTAATGTTTATTTGATAGTGTGCGTCGTTCAGATCTTTACACTCGATCCGCATCATCCTCTCCCGAACCATCTTCTCCAATTGATCCCGATGCGGCTGCTCGATTTCACGAGCAACTTGCTTCATTATACGGGGCTGTTCCCCCTCTCTCATGCGCAACGGAGATTGTGCTAAAGCCTGAACTTGGGAATGACGCGCTAGATTTATCACCACCAGAAGATGACCAAGACCAAGACCAAGACGCGGAAGAGGAATTTGACTTCCGTCTTTTCTCGAATGACAAGGAAGGCAAAATAGTCATCAAGGAAGAGGCAGCCGATCAGGGAGTTTTTGTTGTCAAGGATAGAAACAAAAGTTACTACTTCACTGGTCCAATTGAGGGGAAGAGGAAGGAAGAATACGCCATGGTGACAGTTAGTGGCGAGGATGTTTTACAAGGCAGAGAGCTGAGATACTGGGGATGGGAAGTTCCATGGAGAGTTAAAATTTTGAAGATTGGTATTGGTGGTCAAAAAACTGTGGGAAATAATGGGCTCGGGGTCAGCAATGGTTATATTGGGGAGAAGAAGAGGAAACCAGGAAAAAAGAGGCGGATCATACTGAGAGAAAGGAGGAGGAAAAATGAGGCACAAGAAGAGGCAATGACGAAGGAGAAGGAAAGCAAAGAGGAGGCAGACAGAGAAAGGAGAGCTAGGAAGAACAGAGAGAAGAAAGTCAAGAGGAAGGCAAAGGAGAAGGCTTCGAAAGCTGCCCCCGGAGGAAATGACCAGACCGCGCCCGGAGTTGACGGAGACGATGATTGAGGAAGAAAGGACCGATTTTTGTCGGTCACAGCCGGATCGACATTCACGATGGGAGAAGTTCAAAATCCTTCAATCTGCGATTTGTAACCCCACTTGAGAGTCCGATAATGTTCGACTTTCCCATGCGATCTACGAAGGACGATAACCCTTCCAAAGAACCCCTTGCGTAAATGCAACCATATTTCATGTCCCCCCACTATACAGATTGTTTGTCGCATTCTCACCCACAGCACAAACGGGAAGGACACACTATCCAACCCAACAAAACAACTTCTCCTCGTGGTTTCTAGGATTCGGCATTAAAGTTATGCATTAACATACCACAGCAGTGATACTTGCACAACATGACCGTCCCGATCCGTGCTTGGGAGGAGGCTTTTAGCCTCAATCACAGCCTCGATCCTTGGGTTACATTTACGAGAACGTGGAAATACATTCAGATCACTCACGAAAACACATCCTCTCTCCTTTCACACTCAAGGATTCCGAAGGATCAAATAACGCGAAATAGAGGATTATTTCTACTCACACTATTGTTTCTTCAAACCAAGGTCAATTAAACACTAATTTCCTCACCGTGTACATAATCGACATCCTCTGGGGCTACGCCGTACCGTTGCGCAGTGTACAACTCTGGAATTACCCTGCCCGTCGGCTTGTATGACAAATAGATTATTCTATGCAATGTCATCTTCCCTAAATATCGGATATAACACCTGCCGTAAACAATCAAGTATGCATATTCCTACCCGGCATGCACAGTCAACTTAATACCCTTGCCTCTTCTTACAAATGAGACCCTGCGAGCATTGGCATAATACTCTAACTCATTCGCTCCACCCCCGCTGTTACGCCTTGCCCCGCCGTCTCACATTGGTACAAGGTCAGTCTACATCTACATGGTCATGATTGTCATCTTAGATAATGCTCTATTGTACACGCACAGTAGTGGGCCTGTAAGATCTTAGTAACTAAACCGATTATAAGTGTAAATCAAAGGTAATCACATACCCTGGATTACCTGCATGAGGCACAATTGTGGCGCCATTTCGCGGTACCGCATTCGGAGGGTTATTTCCCTTTTGGGTGTCATCCTGTATCTTGGGACGAAATCGTGGTGATCGGACGGAAAAATACCTACGGCTCTGGTAGATGAACCTAATATAGGTTTTTCTGTGCTAGGCGTACCGGGAATTTGTATAACCGGACTGGTACTCCAGTATCTTATTTCTTGTAGGGTGGCTGGATGGGGGTTTGAGAGGGCAAGACGGACAGGATTCAAGAGGGCGGGGGGATCATGGGGACATGGTATGCTATGGTTGTGAGATGTCAGAAGTTTAAATTTCCCCCAGGTCATGTCTCATGACGCTACGCTAGTGCGTGCTTGGTCACGGCATGCTGAAGCTTTCATCAATCAGATAAACTGATCTGGTCTAGGCTAGGCGATTGCTTACTGGGGTCTACCTGCTCGTAGAGTAAGGTAAGCAATGATTATTATTCTATATTTATTTTAATCTTGGCTACAAGTCTTTGGCTACGAGTAGTCGGTTTTATGTACTAGTATTTAGACTTTTTCTACAAACAGGCAGGACCTCGTTTGGTTGTCGACTAGTGCGTTTGTGTATGTCGACTGGTGATTAATGCCCTTGATGCAAATAAGCATAAGCATCCGCGTTGTCACATCACATATAGGATATATAGGACATACATGATAGACAAGACGGACAAGACGGACAAGACGGACGAGGCCGATGGATGGTCGGTCGTGGTATGGGAATTAGCCGGTTCGGGCGGGTATCTGGACGTATGTGTGTATGTATGCACGATTTGATACGCTGATATTGTTGAAGGTTGAAGGCTGAAGATTGAAGGTTGAAGGTCAAAGATACTGCATGCACAGTGCACAAAAAGACGAAGATGAAGATAAATAGACACTGGGTAGATAGATGTGGGGGGGGTTCGGGTCATCTCTTTCAGTAAGTGGGGCATCTAGTTTTAATTGGATGGATTGTATGGATGGATCGTGTAGGATGCGATGATTAGTGTGGGGAGAAGGAGGGGGGAAGGAGGGGGAAAGGGGGGAAAGGGGTAGTGAGTGGAGATAGATTGATTTGGCTAGGTTGAGTTGGGTTTTTTTATTTAAAAGTATGAGTCTGAGTCTAGACTTTGTTCTTTTGGTGGGGAGAAGGTTGGGTAAGTTTTTGATTTGATATTTGTATGGATTCATGAGGTTTGAATGTACTCGTAGATCTTTTGGGGTATCTTAATGAAATATAATATGTATGTTTCAACTCTTTTGATTTTAATCATGAGACACTATGAGACTTTAATAAAGTAATGTGATGTGAGGTGAGGTGAGGTGAGGTAAGGTAAGGCTTATCTCATCCCCCTTTTAACTTATTTCTTCTTTTAAGACCTTTTGTGAGGACCTAGCAATTACACGTGAGCGATTAGCTATTAGTAATTAGCAACTAACACCTAGCACCTAGTAACTAGCAACCATGGAATTTCCGAATCCCATTTCATCTTATGCTACTAGCATTTCCATCCCATCGTGTTAAGTTTTCAAGGGCTTGCTTATGTGCAAATACGCAGATACTGATTGACTGTATAGATAAGCTAGCTAGCTAGCTAGCACGCATGTATGTATGTATGTATGTATGTACTCGAGTATGCGTAGTGAAAAGGGAAGAAAAGGAAAGGAAATGAAAGGAATGAGGGGGTGAGGATGTGGATGATGAAGATCAAGATGAGGATGGGAATGAGGATGGGGATGAGTAAGGTTTTAGTGGTGGACCTTTATTTGTACATTTAGAGTAGTGGAGGATGAAGTTGAAATGAAGGTGAGAGGGGAGGAGAGGGTATGTAATATGTGGGTGGAATCGTGATGTGAGATGTGAGATGTGAGATCATGATGTAAGATGGGAATTTGAGATTTGAGATCATGATATGGTATAAGATGGTATTTTGCACCGAGAAGGGAGTTGAAAGATTTACCTCGGTATATCTTTACGTGTATGTGTATGTGTTTGTGTGTGAAGTTCTGCATTGTATTGGATATATCTGGATGGAGTTCTAGGTCTGGTATTTGGGTTTTGGCTTTTGGTTTTTGGCTTTTGGTATTTGATATTATCAAAGGATTTGTAAGTCGTAAATGCTTACTTAATATGGATTTGCATATGTGAGTATATAATATACTCGAGTATATATAATAGATTGAATGCTACTATACTCGAGCATATAAAAAACTAGAATAGATAGGAATATTCTCGAAGAGTATAGGATTCATAGGAATGAATGTACTCGGGTAGATACAAATTGGGAATGAGCTCTAGGGTCTAGGGTCTAGGGTCTAGGCTTTCTCTTTTAGACTTTTGATATTCGAGTATACTGTAGTATTATAGGTGGAGAAGAGATGCAGCTTCGAGTTGGTAGGTATTAGATAAGATGTGATTATATTTGTGTGAGTAATGTTGTTATATTACTCGAGTAGTAGATTTTATAGGGTTTATTTATTACTATAAGTTGAACGGATATGGATAAATATAGATGAATATAAGTATATATTCACTTTATCAAACCGAATACTATACGAGGAGAATTTTATAGTATTGATATTATTAGAGCTAGCTAGCTTTGCCAATTGCAATTCTATACTAATTTCATTGTTAGATATGAGTTAGACATAACATGAATATACGAATACTAGCAAAACGTACGAGTAAAACGTAAGATGTACGAGTAAAACATGTATATAGTACAGGGAGCAAGAATGACTATAGTGCTCTAGAGAAGGAGTCCTGTCTTAGAGTCTAGAGTCTAGAGCTAGAGTTCTTTTCTTTCTTTTCTAAAACTATACTCACTACTACGAGTAGTATCCAGTATCCGAAACCAAGCATTAGTATTAACATCAGCATCCGAAATCAAGACTCAGACTTAGACTTAGACCTTATACTAGTACTGAGTAGTAGATAGACTATTTCGAAATATCCAGTACCGGTATACTAGTAGTATAACTTGAATATAGTACATTACAAATCTAATCTGATCTGATATCATCTGATCTGATATATACACTTCATCTAACAAAACAAAACACAACAAAAATAACAGTAAAACCATGCAATCTAATCTAATCTAACTCTAAATAGCTAAAGAACCCTAACTCTAACTCTAAACAGCTAACTAATTGCAAAACTATACTTGAGCATTCGAATAGAAAGGATTTAAGTTTTATGTTCCTGGGAGGAAGAGGAAGTTTGTTGTTGCTAGTGGAAAAGATGGGGTGAGATATGTTATTACGAATATTAGTTATAAGTTTATAGGAATAAGGAATAAAGACTAAGGAATAAGGGAGAAGGGAGAAGGGAGAAGGGAGAAGGGAAGATGCTAGTCAGTGAGTGAATGGTGTTATACTCATGTATACGACTGTGATATTACATACCTACTAATTACTATACTCGAGTATACTATTCCCATATATCAGATGAGAAGAAGCATTGCACAAGACTATGCGATTAAATGCCGACATTAAATAAATTTTGTTTGTTTGGCTTCTTTCATGTTTGTGTATCTATCTATCATTCAAACATTTGATCCATCTTGGTTGTTCATTCAAGTGAAGTATGATCGATCATGCTATTCACATCATCACGCACCCAACCTTATCTTATGCTATTACGAAAAAAAACCCCTCGCCCAAAATTTCCAACCACTTCCACTTCCACTTCTACTACTACTCCTTTCCCTCCTTGTAACTTGATCGCGTCCACGGATACGCCAGTAGTAAATAGGGACACCAGCGAGGACGAAAGCGATAACGATGACGGTTTGGACAGGTTCCGCGAAGACTGCTCTACTGAGGAGAAATAGACTCACGCAGCAGAAAATGATGGGAGTGGTGATCCACGTCTTATATGGACGTTCGAGATTGGGTTCGCGGACGCGAAGGACAATGAGTCCCAGGACTGTGAGGAAGTAGAAGGTGTAACCGGCCACTCCGTAGAAAGTGACTAGAGTGCCAAATTCACCCACGGCTACGTAGACTGCCGTCAAGAGAGCATTGAGAATCATGGCGTTTACGGGTGTAAAGAAGAGCCCAGTGTCGTCATCACCAAATAATCTGGCGAGCTTCTTCGATACCCAATTGCGTGTTCGGAGTGTGTTGGCGGATGGTTCTGCTTGATTTCCGAACCCAATTTTGCCAAACATGGCGGGTAAATAACCTTCTTTGCTGGCTGCATAGACAAGTCGTCCACTGGTGAAGGCGGTCGCATTGAGAGCTCCAAAACAGCTTGCGCTCACAATGAGAGCAAGTATTAATGATCCAATAGGACCGAATACCTTGTTTCCAAATATGACCGCAACCGTATTCGAAGCATTGATTGCTTCCAAAGGTAACACGAAGAAATATGCTACATTAGCGAGGATATAGGAGAGAATGACCAATGGCATCGCTGTATGAATGACTCTTGGCAGGTCTCGAGTAGGATTCCGGAACTCCCCAACAACATAATTCGTCTGTTGAAGTTAATAAAGATTCTGGCCAAGGAACTTGCAATACTCACATTGTCCCAACCATCAAAGGCCCATAACCCAGCATATAGTGCGACGGCCCATGATGAAGCGCTAGTACTAGTTCCCTCGAACCATCCATGATTCTTCCAATCCTCATTTGCTTCACCAGTCGTAGAAAAGCCAGTGACGGCCACGACAATACCAATGACCGTAACTCCAAGCAATGCAATAAACTTCATAAACATAAACATATCCCCCATCCTCGTGCCCAACTTTGTAGATATACAATTCAAAAAAGTGATCAAAAATAATCCAATCAATGCCACGCTCTTATTAATCCAAACGTTGACACTCTCAGCCTCTGCTCCAATGAATGCCCGTACTAAATATTCTCCCATTATTATTGATACAATGGCGGTCGATCCAGGCTTTAGAACCATGACCGCACACCATGTAAACAAGAACCCAAAAAGCTCCCCAAAAATCTTGGAAAGGTATACTTGTGCGCCGCCATTTAATGGTATTGCTCCTCCCAGCTCCGCATAACTCGAAGCACCTGTCCATGCTAATATTCCTGCTATTGCCCATACCACTAACGATGCGCCTGGGGATCCAGCATTTGCATTAACCTGACTCGGCGAGGAGAAAATCCCGGACCCTATTATCAAGCCAACTATTAACGATAAACCGTTCAGGTATGTCAGAGTCTTGTGTTTCTCCAAAGATCCCCCTCCTAAGGTGGTTTGGCCATTTGATGTGGATATAGGGGCTCCGATCGGCGCATAGCCTCCTGCGGTCGAGGATAGAGGAAAAAGGTTGGAAGAGAAGTCGAAGGCGGAAGAGACGGAATAGGTCCTACCATGTCTCCCCGGTCGACCATCCGCGGCTGGGTTTCTTTCATCCAAAGGATCATCTTCTTCGAGAGATAACTTTCGCGAGGAGGATATACCGGATCTCGAGGAGATTGAATCTGTTGATGATCTTGCGCCTGGAGAACTCGATGCTAAACTAGCTAACTCTAAAGAATCGCGCGCATGAGGCTGTAAATTTTGATAGTTTGGTGACATTATAATCGTTCGTGAGAGTTGTTCAATGCCGGCATCGCGTGCTTTAAATGATCGAAAGGAGGACTCAATGGGAGTTATTTGTTGTTCTTGTTTATCGCAATGCTTTAATCATATCGGTTGTGTAACTTTTAGAATCACAATATACTCGGATAGATAGATGTATAGTAAGGAAAGAAAGTGAAGTGAAGTGAAGTGAAGTGAAGTGAAGTGAAGTGAAATGAAGCTTCAAGTATCAATATATACTTGAATATCAGAAGAATAGAGTTGTAAAGTGCAGAATTTCAGTGAGACAGACAGGGAAATGGACAATGGGGATGTTTATTTTTGGGGTACTAAAGTAGATCTAGATGTTGTCTTTGTAAGGAAATTTGGTTCTTGGCGGGTTTGTACATTTGTACCTGCCTAGTAGATAAACCTCCTGAAATGGTCCGTGCACATTTTTTTTATATTTCCGATTTTGCGGGCAAGCTACTTTTTAATGATTTCTCACATGAAGCTTATTCACAGTTAATCCTCCGCGAATCTGATACCAAGACTGGTCGACTTTATCTTGAGGAATGGTCTCCTTCGTAACAAGATGCGTGTAGAAAATCATGCAGTCCTCCATTCGCAGATATGCATTACCTCGAGAGAGATTAATTCGACTTCTATTTAATTGCAGCCGCAACTACCCCGCTGCCGGCTTTCAAATTGTTAACTCTGTTTTATCACCTACCGGTACTCGATATGCGTCTACTCACAGCATCCAGCAGTCTTTAGATCTGCCATCCTTAGATGAAAAATGGCGGGCGAAATGGATGTCTGCAGAAAGGCGAGAGACCCTGGAAGAACAGAATGATGAATATGATGATGGTCAGAAGATGTACATATTGCCTATGTTCCCATATCCATCCGGAGACCTCCATTTGGGCCACTTTCGAGCATACACAATTTCGGATGTTCTGGCACGGTTTCATACAATGAAAGGCTGCAACGTTATCCACCCAATAGGCTGGGATGCTTTTGGTTTGCCCGCTGAAAATGCAGCAATTGAACGTGGAATAGACCCCGCAGTCTGGACGAAACAAAATATACAAAAGATGAAGGATCAGCTAGTTACTTGGAATGGACGCTGGAATTGGGATAGGGCATGTCTATAAAAGTAATCATGATTTGGTAGCTAATAGCAATTAGGAAATTACAACTTGCGATCCCAATTTTTACAAACATACTCAGGATATATTTCTTCTCCTTCATGAACATGGTCTGGCATACCAAGCAGAATCTCTGGTAAATTATGATCCTGTGGATAAAACCGTTCTAGCAAATGAACAAGTTGATGCAAATGGCTGTTCGTGGCGATCTGGAGCCAAAGTAGAGAAGAGACAACTAAAACAGTGGTTTTTAAAAATATCTGCATTTAGAGAGCACCTACTCAAAGATATTGATCACTTAGCTAAGGGAGGTATGTGGCCAGAAAGAGTTCTGGCAATGCAAAAGAATTGGCTGGGAAAATCGGAAGGAGCTCGAATTGAGTTCTCCGTATTAAAGAGTGCTCGTCAGTCTGTTGAAGTTTTCACCACTCGACCAGACACTATTTTTGGAGTTCAATATATTGCTCTTGCAGCGACACATCCTATTGTTCAAGATCTTGCAAAAGAAGATCCAAAACTGCAAGACTTTTTGGATACAATACCCGATCTTCCACCCGATTCAAAGGCTGGCTATCTTCTTCCTACTATTCATGCCATCAATCCATTATCATCTCAAGAATCTACACCGTATATTTCTAAACTTCCTTTGCCCATTTATGTTGCACCATACGTGCTAGGTGATTATGGCGATGGCGCAGTTATGGGAGTGCCCGGCCATGATACTCGAGACCATGCATTCTGGAAGCACAACAGCCATGAACCACCGAGACATGTCATTGCTCCCACGGGGGCTACTTCCAAAGCTGTTTCCACAGACCAACCATTTGTCCATCCTGGATGTCTTACATCACAAAATGGATCATTTTCTGGACAAACAACAGCTCATGCCACGAAGGGTATCATAAAGCTGCTCAAAAAGAAAGGTTTTGGGTCAGCTGTTGAGACATGGCGTCTCAGAGATTGGCTTGTCAGTCGACAAAGATATTGGGGTACTCCTATCCCGATAATTCATTGTGACAGCTGTGGTCCAGTCCCTGTGCCTAAAGATCAGCTTCCAGTTGAGCTTCCTTCCGTCGAAGGTCACTGGCTGAAAGGCAAAGCTGGCAATCCTCTTGATAATGCTCACGATTGGGTGAATGTATCGTGCCCCAAATGTGGCGGGGACGCCAAAAGAGACACTGATACTATGGATACTTTCGTTGATTCTAGCTGGTATTTTATGAGATTTGCTGATCCTAAAAATTCAATGACGCCGTTCTCTCCACAAGCAGCCAATGCAATTCTCCCTGTTGATGTATACATTGGGGGAGTTGAACACGCCATTTTACATTTACTGTATGCTCGTTTTATATCAAAATTTCTCTCGACGACTTCACTCTGGCCTGAAGGATCAACCTCGAAAGTTCGTGGGGAGCCCTTCAAAAGGCTTTTAAGTCAGGGTATGGTCCACGGAAAGACTTATTTGGATCCTACCAACGGCCGATTTTTGAAACCTGAAGAAGTTGACCTCAGCACACCATCGAAGCCGATTGTTATCGCATCGGGTGAAGTGGCCAATATTAGTTTTGAAAAGATGTCAAAATCGAAATATAATGGTGTCGACCCAGCAACTTGCATGACCAAATATGGTGCCGATGCAACAAGAGCGCACATGCTTTTCCAAGCACCAGTGACTGAGGTCCTTGAATGGGACGAACAAAAGATAACTGGCATTACCCGGTGGTTAAAACGTCTTCATGAGTACATAAACTCTTCGAGTACTTCGAGTACAGAACTATCCCAGAGGACGAAACACGATGACTTATCCCCAAAGGAATACCTTCTTTCTGTTCTGGATGTTTTGAAACAAAGCAGGAACATCTTAGGTGGTGTATCAAATCCGGAAACAGACAGGATTGTGCCTTCGGAACTCACTATCAAATCTATGCAAGCCGACATCAAACTCTGGAGAGCCGTGCAACAAACTATCAAAAGTGTCACAGAAGCTTACAGTAAAACTCATTCACTCAATACGATAGTTTCTGATCTAATGAGTCTTACCAATCTTGTCATTGAAACCTCTGAAGAAAAACGGAAAATCAGGGACACTCCGAGAGCACAACTGATGAACAACGTTGATCATCTCGACAATCCAAATTGGATGAAAGCAAACATGGGCATAATTGAAAAAGCCGCCACTACAACATTAATCCAAATGATGGCTCCCATCACCCCCGCTTTCTCAGAAGAATGTTGGCATCTTTCACGCGAGCAAAATGCTCAAGTTGAAATAAAATCGATCTTCAAAACTCCCTTCCCAGAAGCAGACGGCACGATTGATTTATTAGTCCCGTCGACCCAAAAGTGCGCAGTGCAGGTTAATGGAAAACTGAAGTTTGCGGTGGAAATACCAATTCCGGAAGGGGGGATAGAGGGGGAGGCATTGAGGAAGTGGGTGGTGGAGAGGGTTTTCGAGACGGAGGAGGGGAGGGCCAGGTTTGGGAGAGGGGAGCATGAGGATAAGGATACACTGGATGGGGGGGCGAAGAGGGTCGTGGTGGTGGGGAGGGGGAAGTTGGTTAATTTTGTGATGTAGGGGGGTGGAGGTGGATGTGTAGGTGGATGAGGGGTGGGAGAGGGAGGGATGGGGGATAGAGGGATAAATGGGGGGAGGAGGTGAATGAAGAAATGGTTGAAAATACCCTGCCTGCTCTTGTCGATGAGATTTGCGTAGTATATAAATGATGTATGATATGATATAATATGATAGATGATAGATAACCCCCTAAACCACTATAACTACTATAACCACTATAACACAACCACAAACCAGAAATTATACACGAAAGTCACAACAAGTCCTAGGAACTTTTCAACATGTAAATATGTGAATAAGTCTGTCTCATCTCATCTCATCTCATCTCATCTCATCAATTTTCAGCAAGTATATCTATAAAATTAACAAAATCAATCAAACCAATAAATCAATCAACAAAATCAATCAAGGGTTTTAAAAATTGAAAGTTCTAAAAATTAAATAAATAAATCAATCAATCAAGAGCCGATCATTAAATAAACAACTAATTCAATAAAATAAATAAGTATTTCAAAACTCTTCATTTTATAAAACTGAAAACGCTAAAAACGCTATCTAGATAACTAATTATAGTATATCTACGAGTACGAGTATTTCTATATCTACGAGTATTTCTGATTATAGTATGATATGGTTTGGTTTGGCTTGGTACTATAATATTTCGAGTCGTAGATATAATAGATAGTATTTTATTATATTTTATTTTATTATATTACGCAAGTACTCGAGTATATTATATACATTATTATCTCAAAAAAAGAAGAAAAAAACCGAACACATTTTATTTCCGAGTCGTCGAGTCCCTTCCTTTCCGAGTCCCTTACGAGTCCCTTTCCTTTCCTTCCCTTCCCGAGTCTTTCCTTTCCTTTCCTTTCATTTCATTTCCTTCTCCATTCCCAACATTCCCATCAGACCCATCTCCTTTTGTTCAATAGTAGTACTCGAGTAGTAGTAGTAGTGTAGTAGTAATAGTAATAGTAGAAATAGTAATAGTAGTAGTAGTAGTCAAAGACAAGAAAGACTCTTCCGCCTGCCTGCCTGCCTGCCTGCCCGCTTGCCCAACCATTCCATTCATTCGTATCATTATCAATCAAGGCCCCATCGTTCTTGTTTCTTCCACGTTCCACATTGACCCGCACCCTCGCCCACCCTCGTCCACTACTCCAAATGACCCTCATTAAGCACCATCTCCAACACAATCTGATTGCCTGCGACCTCCGGATGCGCCATCGCCAATTTCAACGTCCTGTTCATGGCCCCTCCAGCCTGCCCACCCATTGGACTTATAGTCGACATAGAACTTGCACCTGCGCCCTGGGGATTGGTGCCTGCATCTAGACATCTCACATCACTACCCGCAATAACCTGTCTCAGTCTCCCATTCTCCGCATTTCTCACTTCTACAAAATCTTTATCGAAGAGGACCAAGTAGGCACCATACATAGCTGCCGTGTGAGCTTTCCCTACAAATTCCATGATGACGGATCGAGATACCTCGCCGTGCTTGTCGACGTATACACCGCAATCTGCGTAGCAGAGAAGGAATTCGGCATCCGAGAGTCGGAACATGCCTAGGGGCATTGTCGCTTGAAGTCGAGCGGCTATGGATGCTATATTTTGGTTTTTAGTATCTGGGATACTCATTGGGACTTTTTTATCGAGGGTCAAGAGTTCGAACCCTTTCTGGGTGGAGATGGCGATGTAGGATTGGAAGAGATTGATGGTGAAGCATTCGGTTGGGATATAGAATTCGTCAAATTCACGGAAAAATTCAGTGTTACCGCCGAAGCGTTTACCGAATAGACGAGACTTTTTCTCCGATGATTTTTGGACAACTGGTTCTAGGACTTTGAAGACAGAATGTAGACTTTCTTTCTTCTTGTAGAAGACTAAGGTTCTATCCTTCATACGAGCTGTAGCGAAGAAGGATACATCCCGAGTGCCGGAGAGCTTTTGCGGTGCTCGACGATATGAGTCTGTATTGGGAGCAGGATGAATTGAGGCAGGAATAATTACGTCGAGATGATATGCAATGAGAGATTTGTCGGCAATGATAAGGCATAGCGAGAATTCCTCAAGGATGGCGATTTGTGTAACTTTGGGCATTTGGATCGTCTACCAATGTTGTTAGCTAGATGTTTGTTAAAATCAGATATAATATTGTACTCACTCTCGACCACCCTCGAGGGTTCGATGCCTCAGAAATATAAACCCCATAGTCTGTTCCAATTGCAATCAAAAGTTTCCCATATGATGTGAAAGATGTGGCACAGTTTACGCGAGCTCTGCATATCGGGGGCGGTCGGGGTTTTGCTCCATAATTACCTTCCATATCCCTGATGGATCTATCCAGTGGTGTGCCAGAGATAGATATGGGAGCTCGTTGTTGATAAATCATCGAGTTGTCATAAGCAAAGGCACTGTCAGCTGTAACTTTGAGACGGAAAGGCTCCGCATTCTGCGCGAAAAGAGCCGCTGCGTAACGAGTCTTTGCTTCGATTATTTTGTCGCACCACTTGTCTCGGCTTGATGCTGATGGAGCATAAAGAGTATAAACCTCGGTTTTACCCAGATGTTTGATACGAAATGGGTACATCACCTTTGCATCGTTATCATTCATATTAGCAGCGTTCAGTCTTACCGTCGAAGCCGTGGTTGAGACCGAGTTGTTAGTGCTTGCATGCTCTAATGTTTGCATCCGCTCAAGTCCAGTATTGTTGGTGGCAGTGCGATTCAACCTCGCTTCAGCAGTAGTTGTGGGGGCAGTTTTAGAGACGGTTGTTGTGACAGCTCCAATACCCTTTACTGCAGATTTCTGCACTGGGTCATCGTCGCTGCTTTCAAGAACTAAAAGCTGCATGGGAATCGGCTAGAGTAAAGGTTAGTAACGCGACATGATTTAAGGTATCATGGAGACCTACAAGTTTCGACACATCATAAACTTCCTTTTTCCGTCCACCACTGGCGTCTCGTTGAATAACACTTTTGGCTAGAACAAAGTAATGATCAAACAGAATAGCATGGGTTTCTAGCCAGGTGAATCGATTGTTACCAGCACGCTGCAAATCTCCTCTGTGGAGGAGCTCCCGGCCTAAATGATCCAGATTGAGCTCGACACGCTCCATGCCAGGGCGAAGATACAGCTTCGACTGTAGCTCAATCATGTCGACCTTCCTACTTTGTTCCTCAACCTTAGCATCGCACTCTAATGTGACTGCCTTGATCTCTTCAATGGCAATCGCGAGAGTTACTTTTTCTTCGCTGTCCAGAGTCATATTCTTCAGAACAGTTCCGAGGAGAAGACCGTAGCGCTGCAATCTTGTGATTGGTGCTTTTAAATACGTGTTCCAATCCAGACGACCGGAGAGTTTGTTATCTCGAGCTTGGTCTAGAAATTGGCGGAATAGAAGATTCCTGTCTGCTTCTCTTCGGACAAGATATGTGGCATATGGAAACCCAGCAGCATACTCAATATATGCTAACTTAGCCTTCCTTATCCATTCTCTAAAGATGTCGCTAAAGCCTATCACCCAAGGTCCTTGCTCTTTTTGTCTGTACTTCAATTGTGCGAGGAGATGATTTTCATTGACATCTTTGATAGCTTCGACTTTTCCGAAAACCGAAGCGACGAATTTGCTAGTCTTGCTTTTCGCAATAATGGGAGGTTGCCATGAATCAAGATTGTCTCGATATAGTATGCGCAACACATTGATCTGGTCCATATAGATATCTTCCGACATGACTATCTCGTGAAGGTTGTTCTGTCTCTCAATCTCTTTCTTGTTTACACCCCCGAGCATTTCCTTGGTTATTTTGAAGTACGTAATCCAATCCTCGGATTTTCTCGATGGTTCCAAAGTTTGAGATTGTAGGTTAATCTTCTTCAGTGTGCGAGTACAATGATGCGAGTAACATCGACCTTCTATTTCATGTTCGTGAACCTTTGGTGCATAGCACCCTGACCCCGTCAATTGCCATAAGACACCGGATACTTCACCTTGACCAAATTTAACCCACTCTTCATCATCAACTAGGATGCCGGCATTGAACATAGATTTCACAACTCTTTCGCTCAGTGTCTCCGCATCGGCCGTGTTCATGGTTGGTACCATGTGTGTGAACAGTGCTACGAGACCATCTTCGATCGTCTTTACTCGAAGGTCAGGTTCACCCTCTCCCGTTTCTCCGCCAGCCATTTCTCGTATCCAAGCTGCAATTCCGCTCAGGGCCCATGGTTCTGTACACCTTCGGAAATCGGCTGTCGCTAATCTTCCAGGAGAAAACTTCTTGCGACGGCCGGCTGGTAACGCAGGTAGATCGAGCGTCGCCAGTGACTGCGGAGTGGATGCATCATAGCCATCTAAGCCTGCCCCGGAACGTAGCATAGACTGCCTATTTCCTTTTGCTCTGGCTTGTCGCTCTTCTGCATCCGTTTTCGATCGAACCGGAGGTATTGTTTGTGCAGTACTGCTGTGACTATGGAGAGATGATGATCTTGGAACATATTGGAGGGCAGGCTGGAGCGTATTTTGTGAATATGCATCCGGTCCACTAGGAGGATGAGGTCTCACACTGTCAATACTTGATGAGTAGGAGTGTGAATAACCATGCGAATTTCGGTAAGAGCCAGCTGGTTGTAACTGAGGCGTCCTATTTTCAGACATTGGAGGCACTGCCGGAAGAGGCCGTTGGTAAGATCCCGCGGTCATTCCTGGATGGTAGAACAATTCTGCCATTCCATCTCTCGTGGGACTATCACTTCCGGACCTACCACTTTGCCTTGAATCCAAGATTCGAGATTGAATTGAATGCTCATCACCTTCGTCAAAGCTTAAACGGTGAGCATGTGATGTTGGTCTTTCTAGACCACCAGTACCGTAATTATCAACCCTAGCTTCCTCGAATGCGGGAAAAGGATGGAGTTCACCCTCGCCTGGCATAGAGTAGTCAGCCATTCCGCCCAAACCACCCCTTTGAGCACGGCTATCAGAACGACCGAGCTGGTGTGGTGTCGGTAATGGGCGACTCTGATCTTCCATCTCACTGCTATGCTCTGTACTCATACCAGTAAAATCATCCCCATAGGATAGATGTGCGTCATAGCCGCCGCCAGCAAGGCCCAGATCCATATTTTTGTAGTCACTATCACTGCTTTCTTCATGTGACATCTGATTTTGATGGGATGGTTGTCCCTCGTAATAAGATGGCTGTGCTTCGTATGGTCCACCAAAACTTAGCCCCCCCGAACCTAGTCCATGAGATTCTTGTTCTTCGGCAATGCGCATAGCTTCGACACCCGCAGCCGCTTCCAAATCACTTTCGTCATCTTCGTAATCATCATAAGAAGTCCCTTGGGTATTTAATGTAGAAGCTGTAGAAGAAAAATGGTCAACTCCAGCACCAGAATGAACAGTAGTTGCTCTTGAATCATATCGATGTAGTTCACCATCCAGAAGGTCTCCATTCCGGTGGGAAGTTCCAAGGGCATCTCCAATATCCGCAAAGATTTGTTCTTGAGCAAGTTCTTCAAATGTCTTACCTTGTATTCCTAGACCCCAGTCATCTTCATCTCCAGTACTTCGTTCCATCGGTGCACTAGGCAAGGGTCTTTGCGTTGGGTGTCTTTGTAGCGCAGTTCCGGCAGACACAGGCATAGATATCACAGGAGCATTTGAAGAATTCGTTGAAGAACGTTTGGGCGGAGGAATTGGAGGGAGATCTTGAGTTATGGAGTCAGTTGAATTCTCTCGAAGTACACCACCAGGGAAATTCGGGTAGGTGGGCATTTGTGTAGGACTCCTGTAATCCTCTTCAGCAAAAGTGTCTCCGTTGACGGGATAAGGAATTGAAGGTGGCGAGTTATACGATGCCTGCCTCGAGGGCAGTGGTAAAGGAGCCGAGTGAGGAGCATAGCTTGGACTTCTAAGAGGCGGCGAATCCATGTAACTCTCATATATGGCACTTGCGCGAGCCGGAGGGGATGACGATCCATATTGCTGGGGATTCTGCGACCAGTAGGATGCTGATGTAGCGGTAGGAGTCTGCGCATACGAGTTGTTATAGTTGTTGTACGCAGAAGCAGTAGACGAAGCGCGTGCGGGATATTGCGACGGTTGATAAGCTGCGGGATTATATGTCTGATGACTGGAGGATGTAGAGTTTGAGTATTGAAGTTGATTAGAAAGACTCGGGCTATATGAGGGATGGGGGCGGTATTGAGTTGATTGCGAGTGCGATTGGGACCTGGCAAAGTTCTGAGGGTTATATGCTGGTTGTTGGGAGAGTGGGGGGGATTGAGGCCCATTGAGCGGTTGGTATTGATGTTGGTATCCCGACAAAGCTGGACTACCGGGTGTTCCAAACGATGATCTGCCAGGAGATTGTGGGCTCATTGAGTTATTTGACATGTATAATTCTTCCGATGGCATCGAAGCCCTCGCGGAAGATGGCGGGGCAGGTTGGTATCCGCCAATACTCGGATCGAAAAACGCAGCATCGTCTCCATTGTCAAAACTAGACTGCCTCTGCAAGCCCTGACCCGAGTTATTTGAAGGTTGACCAGTTGGTGCACCATATTGTGCTGGAGGTACATGTCCGTAGCGCCGCCCACCGTTTGCGTGGAAGGACATAGTTGCGACAACACAAATCTGCGCAAGGGCTCAAGTTTCGAATTGACCTGTAACTGTATGTGCTGCAAATAAATTTGTAATGTGCGAATCGGCCAGCCAATTTATTGTGGTTGGATGTTGGATTTTACGAGCATTTGGGTCTGCTCTGCGCAATCAAACAGTCGAGATGGTGCCCATTCGCTCGTTGAAGAAGATAGTAGGTCGACGATCAAACGGTGACCTCGGCGACCTTGGAAACCCTTTAAAAATTTGGAGGAGTCGTCGTCTCAATGTCAAGCTTATGCGCGGTGTCGTGTAAAAATGCTGATTTGCCCAGATTTTGCGACGATGTGCGAGATTTCGATGGGGGTTTTCGGAGTCTCCGTATAAATGCAAGCAATTTATCTTGACTGGGTTTTTAAATCCTCTGGGTTTCCTCAATACCTGTGGGGAAATACTATGAAAATGACCGATGTTGTGTAGCTGTTAGATAGATGGGAGAGTGACTGAGTGAGTGATGCGAGTCAAGTGGGAGATGTATATGTGCTGTTTGGCTGCTTGACTTAATCAAAGGTTGTTTGTGAACTACTGAAATCTTTGGATGTTCTGGAGCTGAGTGTGTGTCGTCGCAAGCTCTCGAATGTTGATTGGTTTGATCGACCACCACTTTAAAAGGAATATATGGTTGATTACATCTAACCGTTCTAAGATTAAACTATTTGAATGAGATGATATCTCTAGCCGTTTCTAATAAGCCATTATTAAGTTGAATAGTTTGTAGATAGTATACACATAGGAAGTCAATCAATCAATTCATTCATTCATTCATTCATTCAGGAATTCTACACAGCTCAAATGATTGAGTAGGTATCATTTTCTCTGCCATTATGTTATTTTCAGTACTTGTACCACAACTTCAAAGCCTTCACCTCGCTTCGCCCTGCTCATACATGGCACAGTGAAAAAGAAAGTTAAGCCTCACGGTAGGGCTGTGGCTAATCAATACGTCGAAGGCATATATGACAGCGGTAGCATTGTTTGTATTTTGGTTTAGGATCTGATCTGATATTGGATATTTTAACAAAACTTCAAGTCAAGTTTCAAATAATAAGGAATCTTGCTTGTAACCTTAATCTTACCAATTTTGACTGGTCCACGAGTCTAGTCTCGTCTCGAGTAGGTTCTTCCTTCCTTCTTCCCTGAACTCGTTAGGTTTGAACTCCACGTGGATCCCATGCCATCGATAACCATATGCAATGAAGGAGAAAAGCAAAAGCTACCGGTACACATGAGCTTTGTGAGTTACTGGAGATAGAGATCAAAATATTACTACACGTGTAACAGCAGATGGTGATTTGTTGAGGACCGAGGACTTGGCTAAGTTGGCTTGTACTGTTCCGATATTAAGCCAACGCATAGCTTAGTCAGATATTAAAGTATACTAGCTCGTTTTTCGAAGCGGCTCTTTGGTAGAAATATTTGTGACACAGTCTTTACTGATATTGAGATTGAGAGGTCGGTGATGTTACAGAACACTATATACTTTTCGTTGTTGCCAATCTCATATTGGTTTTGTTCTTATGCATTGATATATATTCATTGATATCTACTGTACCATTCATGATTCAAAGGTTATATGCAGGATTTGTACTTGAGCATCACTGAACACACACATTTATACGGAGGTAACAGATAGACCACTCCTTCCATCCAATATTCTTATACCTTGTGATACTAGGTATACTTTTACTCAGTTAATATGACGCTCCGCTGGCCCTCCGGGGGCCACTGCCGTGGAGGCCGACTACGATATTCCGGTATTCCATCCAAAATAAAGAAACCCTTCGAGCGCAGCGAGCAAAGGGGGTTTGGGGGCTTGCCTCCATAAATGACTCGCTCCATAAACGACTCGAAAGAAATATGTATGCAATATGAGATGATGTTAAATGCTAAAATGTTAAAATGATTGAATAATCCAATATCTAAAAAAAAAATGCTTTATAAAATACTCGTAGACGTTTACTCGAGTAGAATAGCATCTATAGTCAATCTGTGATTCGTCCGGTGTTCGGAACTCAATATCACATCATTGGATTGATAATGGTGCAGATGGAACCTCAATTATCTATGGAATAACTCATAGGTAGGTAAGACTGGATGGAAGAAGACTGGCTTTCAAAAACCCAAAACCCCACTTTCTTTGAAATGTTCATAGCTTCCCACCCCTCTTTCTCTCCCATTCTACCGTCTACTGCTGATTCTTGAAAACGACAACAACAACATCAAAATTATCTTCCAAGACTTTCCAAAACTTTCAAATCAACCAATTTAATAATAATCCATCAAAATGGTTAAAGCAGGTATGTTTTATATCTGATATATCACTCTATCCAGTCACTACCCCACATATTTGACGTTGTGGCCAATTGGCGGGGTCAACTAGAGAGCTTTTGAGCACATTTCTATTTCCATCGACAATAGGATACCCGGATGGGCAAGCACACTATGTCGAGTCAAGCATCTAATCTACATTTTGATATTATCTTTCATTGTTTCACAGCCTTATGGGATGAATGTCTGTGCTAACCCCGGTTTTCCTCTATTCTAGTTGCTACCGTCCGAGGTGACTCCAAGATCACCGGTACCGTTACCTTCGAGCAAGCCAATGAATCTGCCCCAACCGTCATCACATGGAACATCACTGGAAATGATTCCAATGCTGAGCGTGGCATGCATGTTCATCAATTCGGTGACAACACCAATGGCTGCACATCTGCCGGCCCTCATTGTACGATCCACGCTTTGAATATATATTTATGGAGGATACAAGGCTGATTTAGTACTTTATAGTCAACCCACACGGACAAACCCATGGTGCTCCTTCTGATGAGGTCCGCCATGTAGGTGACCTTGGAAACTTCAAGACTGATGCCCAAGGAAATGCTACTGGCTCGGTTGAAGACAGTCAGATCAAGTTGATTGGTCCATTGAGTGTTATCGGAGTAGGTGCTCTATCAAGTCATGCCTATGTAAAATGCTAACCAACTCCTCCAGCGTACCGTTGTTGTCCACTCCGGAACTGATGATCTCGGCAAGGGAGCGGGCGAAGAGTCCAAGAAGACCGGTAATGCCGGAACCAGACCAGCTTGCGGTATGTCATGATTGAAGATGCAGCTATTGAAACGTCACTAATCTAATGTCTTCATATAGGTGTTATTGGCATTGCTGCATAAATGATGTTGCACGCCAAATGAAATTATATGATATGATGAAAATGGGAAAAGGTCTATGGATAGGGTAGCTTAGTTTGCCTGTTGTGTTCAAATATCAGGAAATAGCCGTCGTTTTACTCGATTAATCTTGCCCAACATAAGACTTTTGGATATTTTAAACAAATTGAAAAGCTTCGTTCATCTAATCATCAAATTCGTTGTATACGTTGTTTAAACCTTACTCTTCGATAGGAGTCAAATCCGGATAAATCACATACAGTATCGCTATTATGTGATTGATTTCAACTTGGTGTTTTATTAAGCTAATGTCTTGCCATTTACCCTCTTCTCCTCTTCTCTTCTCTTTTACTAGTACCCGTAGCTCATTCACTCTACCGTATTTTTATATGTTCACCCAAAGATTCTACTCGAGTACCTATTCATAACAATCTCCCAAACTAGACTTTCAGACCACTTTTTAAATATGGATTCAAGCTTCCTCGATCCATAATTCTCGCTTCATAGACCAATGATTGATCGTATATCTCAACCCCACAAATGGGACCTTACAGTACTCGTAATGTAATTATATAAAATGTAGCCTCATCAGATGAGATATTGAGTGAAGCTCCCGAAGAGAACACTTGACACTTGACACTTGATCAGTTTATCAATTTACCCCTTTTACATATATAATCAATTGATTTATAAGGAGAGTTTGAACATACTAAACATACAATTTGTATTCTGCAAATCGCTACAGAGAAGATTTATTAAAGAGTTATTGGATTTTTATGTAAGTTGTAATACAATTATTCCCCCCTCTCCTTCTCCCCTCCCTCCCTCTCCGCATATGGAAATGTATACAAGAACGACATGTCTACCTGCCTGCCGCAATCCGCAATCCCGCATTATATACTTTGCGTCAAGAAAGCTACCTCTCTCTACCTATGGATGGATATTTGAATGAATTGAAAAAAAAGAAATTTGGATTATAATCACTGGACGGAACGGAATGAATTTTATATGAGGAAATTGATGAGTGGTCGTCGTCATTCGAGGAAACTAACTACCTAGCTTTGAATTTATCAATATCACTACAAGAAATTCAATCGACAAGCAACTTCACCTTTACCTTTACCTTTACCTTTAAAATATAACACAACACCAATCTGGAAAAGTCTATTTCTAAATTTCACATACTACTTCAAGATTCACTTCCACCTAAGCTGTATTCTAAATACGGTACAGCACATACATATTTATCTCTACGCTTCTACTCTACTACTACGCTACTGTGTCTTGACGAAATCCAATCTCCATAACCACAAAACCTTGACTTCTTCTACCTACGATCTACAACCAACCTCAATCGCAGAGACAATTCAATTCCTATAATTCAATCCAATACAACTACAATTACAATCAACAACTGGATCTTTAATTTTATTCAGAATGGGTGTTAAAACATACAAAATTGGCTCTGTGGCAGGCAGTTCTAGTGACCGCAAATCTTCGAGCAGCTCAACGACTTCAAAGATTTCTCAGGAATCTGCTAACCTACCTGAACCATTTCCTAGTCCTCGAATTCCACCCCTTGGAAAGAAACGACTTGCCAACGTCCCCCCATCCGATTACAGCAAAATGGTTCTCAATCAAGCCAAAGTTAAATCCGTCTTGAGCGGCGACAGTCTGGTACTTTCTTCAATCGAGAACCCTGAACGCGAGCGCATCTTGTCTTTAGCTTATTGCAGCTCACCACATCTACGAAAGGAGGGCGATGAACCTTTTGCATTTCAGTCTCGCGATGCCTTGCGAAAATTAGTCGTGGGCAAGGTTGTACAATTCAAAGTACTGTATCAAATCCCAAATACCAAGCGCGAATACGGACTCGTTTTCCTCAATGATGGAACCAAACTACCTGAAGAAATGATAAAGGAAGGCTGGCTCAAATTGAGAGAAGACGCTGGCCGCAAAGAAGACTCGGAAACGGCTCTTCTACAATTGGACGCATTGCGTTTATACGAGGCTACCGCACGCAGTGAAGACAAGGGCCTGTGGCAAAGCGATTCAGGACGTATTGAGATCCAACATGACATGGGCGACTCACAAACTTTCCTGGATACATGGAAGGGAAAGACCATTGGTGGTTTGGTCGAACGTGTATTAAGTGGTGATCGAATGCTTGTGCGTCTGATTGTTTCCCCCACGAAGCATATCCAAGGTTGGTTAGCCAGATCTCTGAGGTGGTAAACATAAACACTGACAATTCCTAGTTATGACTTTGGTTGCCGGTATACGCGCACCAGCTACTGAGAGGGTCAACCCATCGAATGGACAAACTGCCCCCGCGGAACCTTTCGGAAATGAAGCACGACATTTCGTCGAGGAACGACTGTTGCAAAGAAATGTAAAGATACATATTCTTGGACTTAGCCCTCAAAATCAGCTCATCGCTTCAGTCATACACCCTATGGGATCGATTGCCAAATTTATCCTCGAAACTGGACTTGCACGATGTACCGATTTCCATTCTACACTCCTCGGCTCAGACATGGCGACATTGCGTGAGGCTGAAAAGCATGCGCAACACGCTAAGCTCGGTCTGTTCAAGGACCATGTTGCAAAGATTGATGGTGCAGGTGGAAGTCTTGAGGCAACAGTCACCAAGATATTCAGTGCGGATCAGATTTTTGTTCAGAACAAAGCAGGTGTTGAGAAGCGCATAAACATCAGCAGTATCCGCGGACCCAGACCTAGCGAGCCATCCGAGTCACCTTTCAGAGATGAAGCCAAGGAATTTCTTCGAAAACGACTCATCGGAAAGCATGTTCGCATTAGCATTGATGGATCAAGACCGGGCACTGAAGACTACGATGCAAAGGAAGTTGCTACCGTTACTTTCAATGAAAAGAATATTGGTCTGCAACTCGTTCAAGAAGGTTGGGCCTCTGTGATCCGCCACCGAAGAGACGATACCGATAGAGCCCCCAACTATGACGATCTTTTAGCGGCACAAGAAAAAGCCAAGGATGAGAAGAAGGGAATGTGGTCTGGCAAGGCTGCCAAGGCAAAGCAATATCTTGATGTCTCTGAATCTGTCCAAAAGGCTAAACTTCATGTTGGAACCTTGCAACGACAAAAGAAAGTTCCGGCCATTGTTGATTTTGTCAAGGGTGGTGGTCGATTCGTTGTACTCATTCCTCGTGAAGGCATTAAACTTAACTTTGTTCTCGCCGGTATTCGAGCTCCTAAATCTGCTAGAAACCCAAGTGAGAAGAGCGAACCATTTGGTAAAGAAGCACATGATCTTGCTACACGAAGACTATCACAACGTGATGTTGAGATTGACGTATTCAACACTGATAAAGTTGGTGGCTTCATTGGTGAACTTTACATTAACAAGGAGAGCTTTGGTAAAATTTTAGTCGACGAAGGGTATGCAACTGTCCATCAACACTCGGCCGAACAATCCGGAAACTCCAAGGAATTATTAGCAGCCGAGAAGCGTGCAAAGGAAGCTCGAAAGGGTATCTGGGCAGATTGGGATCCATCGGTAGACGAGGAAGAGGAAGAAACCGAGACTACCAATGATAATAGTAGTGACATCACTCCAATCAAGAGAGAAAAGGACTACCGAGATGTTATGGTTACCAACATTCTTGAAGATGGAAAGTTAAAACTTCAAATCATCGGTACTGGTACTTCGGCTCTGGACATTATGATGACTCAGTTTAAGTCTTTCCATTTGAACCCATCTAACTCAACTAGTCTTCCTGGTCCACCCAAGGCTGGAGATTATGTTGCAGCCAAGTTCACCGCGGATGGTCAATGGTATCGTGCCCGTATACGTTCCAACGATCGTACAGCCAAGGAAGCAGAAGTTGTCTACATAGATTTTGGCAACAGCGAGAAGATTCCCTGGGCACATCTCCGACCCCTTTCCCAACCACAATTCTCAACGCAAAAGCTTCGTCCCCAAGCCGTCGATGCCATCCTCACCCTCCTTCAATTCCCAACCAACAAAGACTATCTAGACGAAGCCATCGATTTCATAACCCACAAAACCGCAGACAGAGAACTCGTCGCAAATGTTGACTACACGGCTCCAGATGGAACGCTACACGTCACGCTTTTCGATGCAAAGAGTCAGAATCTCACTGATAGTATCAATAATGATGTGGTAGCAATGGGTCTCAGTATGGTGCCAACAAAGTTGAAGGGCTGGGAGAAGGGCTTTGCGGATGTTATTGAGTCGTTGACGAAGAGTCAGTCGTTGGCGAGACAGAATCGTCAGGGTATGTGGGAGTATGGTGATGCTTATGAGGATTAGATAGATGGGTTTAGATTAGTGGGTGGTGGTGGATGATGGTTGGCGGTATGGGTGATGGATGATGGTTGGTGAGTTGGTGAGTTGGTGAAGGATGGATGACAGATGATTAACAGATGATTGAATAGAAATCATCACTCACTAACTCACCTCTTTATCTATATACTTACAAACCTAAATACATACCTAAATACCTATCTGCCTACAAACCTACATACATACAAACCTACAAACCTGCCTAGTAATAAATGAATATTTCTTTTCTGCCTGCTGCCTTTCGCCTTTCTCACTTCCCGCAAGGTGGTACTATAGATAGATGGATGTTTAGATCGCTTATGAATGAAAGTAATTATATTGTATTATAGTAAAATGAATAAGATACACCTATCTATTTACCTAATACTTAGGTATAGGTATAGGTATAAGTATAGGTATAGGTGTTGATATAGGTATAAGTCTATATCCACTCACTCACTCACTCACACACACACACACACACACACACTTAATTTAATACCTATCTACATAACTACTGAGTAGATATAATAATAAATTTCAAGTTACACCCCGGGCCTTGATTACTTCTTTTCCTAACTTGAATACCTACTACTCGGAATTATTTATTTATTTATTTATTTATACCCCATTCACCTACTATAGTACGTACTACTTATTTATTCATACTCAGTAATTATACCAAGTTACAACATTTTTTTTTTGGAGACCAGATTTGAGCAGGATCGGATTAGAGCAGATCTGACCAGATTAGAACTAAAGAAGAGAAAAACAAAAAGGAAAAGAGTGATGTGATGTGATGTTTGGAGAGAGGGTTTGGGAGAGAGAGAGAGAGAGGAGAGAG